TGACAAGACACTCTGTGTTGCATGGCTCAACAACGGGAATATCCGTTAGCACAAGAAATTTAGAGATAGTAGCACCCATGGTTATGTTCCCACCCTGCTGGCCTGTTTCACACGTTTCACCTCATTAGAGTAAGTCAGGATTCACCTGGGAGCAATTTAACAATTCAGACTTAGAAAAAAGTCTGATAGAAATATATGCTTGCATGCAGTCTTATACTAATGCCTAAATATGGTGGGTGGTGAAACTGTTTAGCAGAGACCAATTATAATACATTTAGACCAACATGACACACATTATAGATATACAGTAAAAGAAAAAAAATGAGATTTTTATGTTTGCATGGATGTATCAACATATTTGCAACTTAAAAGAAAAGAAAAACAGCTTTATATGCATAAATGACAAAATTATGCAAAGATTGAACAAGCAGCTTTAAAAATATCATCATGATCTTAGGTATTTAGCAAAAAAATTGAGAAAAACCTAAATACTATTTCTGTCCAAAAGGATTGAAGGTTGTTTGTGTTTTTGAGGGGGTTATGTTGGAATTTCTGTACTTTTTACCAGAAATATGTTTTTGAGGTCAGACACTAACGCTGGACATGACGGCTTGACGCTGATGACAGCAGTCCAGCTATAGTTTACTTCCAAGATGGTGTCACAGCCTAACAGGACCAGGGCAGGAGATGTCACTACCCGATCCATACCGGAGGCAAGATCCGTACCACTGGTTCATTTGAGCATGTGCAAGCAGATTTTCATCCATGTGGCCATAAATAATGTAATCATGGTACTAAGAGTTCTTTTTTCTATCCTTAAATCACTAAAGAAGTCTAATACAAATTTTTATGACTTTTCTGAGACAATCGGATGCTTTTTTAAATTTTCTGTTAAACTGCTTGTCTGAACTCATCATCGGACATGCTCAGATTAATATGATTAAACCATGTTTACCTGCATTGTAGCTGTTTCTTTCTTTAGATTACGCACAATATACCATAATGTTAACACAAAAGGAAAAACATAAAACTCAAAGAGACTAGATTTATTTTTAAATCCAAAACCAAAAAAGTTAGCTACCAGACGTAGCGTAGGTGTCATCATTGGTTTAAGCGATCTGACCAACATGCAGAGAACCACTCAGAGACCAAGGGAAAAAGTTTAACAGCTTTATTGAATGTTGATGAAACACAGAAGTAGGAGCTGGAACTCAGTGGACTGGTGAACCGGAAGCGGAAAGTCTAAAGGAGAGGTCACAGTGATCAGTTCAGGGACCATAAGAAAATTGAATGAGGCTGAATATAGGTGGAGAGAAACTCACGTTTGAGGGGGCTCTTGTTAATCCTTGAATCCAGTTTGTGGGGAATTAATCCAGAGGAGAGGGAACTCATTGGAAAGCAGACAGGTAGACATATGTTGAAAACAGAGGAGTAAAGGAGCGGACTGTCACTTGGTTTTCCCATGAGGACTTGAACGGATCATGTGGAGGTTTACCCCTGCTCAGTGTGTACTCAGTAATCCTTCCAGGGGGAGAAGGTCCAGGTTATCCAGTTACACAGGAAAGGCTTCCCAAAACTGGCAAACACTCTGGCGTCTAGGTAGTGACAGCCCACTGCTCAAATACTCCTCCGGTAATAATCTAACGAGCCTCAGATGTGCAGGGAGGCCCAACGAGGAACAGGGCACCACCTGGTGGTGGAGAGAGACAAACACAAAAACAACCCATGCAAACTGGATTCCTAACAGTGGGATCCCAGTTCTGGCACAGACTAGTAATAAAATAGAAACATTTATTTTCTCAGGGAGTACATTAGTAACCTTCAACACATTATAGTTTAATATGCTTACTATTTTTAGGAGGTAAAAACATAATTTGGGTATTTTTTACAAATTAAAATCATCTGGTTTTGCATGTGCAAAGGCGCTGATGGTACGGATCGTGTTTCCGGTATGAATCGTGCAGTGACAGGTGAAGCTACTAAAAAGAGAAAAAGCAGAGAGAACATAAAGTTAGGGGTTGAACAAACAAACATGGTAGAATCAGGGAATAGAAGAAGAATGTCAAAAAGTGGTCTCTATGCCTTCCAACAGCCTAATCCTATAGTTTTGTTTACATTTTTTGTTACTTTAAAAATATTTTTGATTCAAAAAAGTTAAATACTTCTAAAGTTATCTGTTTTTTCTCAATCTAAGATATTAGGATTTAGATTAAAATCAATATGGGGAAATCTTTAACTTTCTATTGGCTTCCCTCTCTGTCACAGCATGGACTGAAGCTTAACTGACAGGTGCAAGTTAAATACATACATGTTAATAAACAATACATGAAGAAAACTCTGGAACACAGATACTTTGAAAAAGTTGATCGACAATAGGGGAACAGGAAGCTGAAATACACACAAACAGGTACAGGTAATCAACAGAACGATACATAGGTGCAAATTATGACACTATCATAACACCATTAAAAAAACAATGATGCTGGGAAGATGAGTGTCACCAATTTCCTCTGCTGTTCAACAGGAAACAAATGAGCTGACTTTGGCAAGTTAAATCTATAAAAAAAAGCCATGAATTGAAAGTTGGCCTTTGATCCAATTCTCTAACTGGCAAACTGCCTTTACAGTTTGGGTTTCATCAGAAAACCCAGCCTGAAGAGAAGAACTGGAGCTCAGTGAGATATTTTGTTTCAGCTTCTTATGAAATCTGCAATAAAATAAAATAAAACGGCGTGCACATCAGGGAGGTGGAGGAGCATGCAAAAAGGCAAATGTCTGTGAGCATCATGGAAAAAAATGTCACGGCGGACTGTAGGAGGTACTATTCACAGTGACAGCGCTTCCACGACACAGGGAGATGAGCACATTGCCAGTTTTCCCTATTTGCTGGATGTTTCCATGACCACCAATGCTGCTTTTTTAATGAAGTGCTAATCCAGCAGGGGACTTAAACAGAGAGACAGTATGGCCGCTGACATTTGAGAAATTTAGCTGAGGATGATGTGTGTGTGTTTGTTGGTGGCTGTATCACCTAATTTTAGGTAAAAGTAATGAGGAGCGGAAAAAAACAACCAGTGCTCTATTTAATGGTGAAATGGGAAAAATGGTTCCCACTTTGATGCCTAGAGGGGAGTATACTCACACACACCCCAACACACACTATCCTACAATAGTGCTTCTGAATCAATGTCACCACAGATCTATTGAGCAGATGTCTGGCATCCATCCTGGTGGAGCCACATTTTCTATAACTATTTTCCATTTTAGCTCCCATTATTTTCAGTAAAAAAAAGCTGTATGCCAAGAACAGTTGTTTAGCCTTGTTTTCAATATAGAGGAAGAAATTTGAGGCTTTTGGTTCCATTTGTACTCAGCCTCCCAAAGTCAATACTTTGGATGGAACCATCTTTAGCTGCTTTTAAAGCTGCAAGCATTCTTTGCTATGTGTCTGATATATAGATAGACGTGCCGACCGACCAACAGACAGACAGACAGGCATGTTATATTTGGCTGGTAGTCTAAGTGTGACTTGAGGCCACTCCTGTACCCTTCAATAAGCGTTAACACATTTGTCAGATCACATTGAGAAAAAAACACTTGATCAGAGATCTATTTATTTCTAACCTAAATGATCCGCCCACTGACTCAGAGACTCATTAGGCTTTGATCATTTTATCCCAGTATGTTAAAGGCTACATCAGTAAATCTAAAACAGGCTGGAAGACACAACAAATATGGATATGGATTTGTAACTGTGTATGTAGGTTTTCTGCGAAGAGCTGTTTTATTTTCATAAGCAGAAGCAATGAACCAGTTGGACATTTAACTACATTATTTATTTTTACTGTTTTGTACTTTTAATGTGGTTTAATTTATACAAAGGTTTAATCATAGTAACCAGCCTCTTTGTCTGCTTTAGACCCGTTACTCATTTTTGTATTTTAATTTAACACCATGTTGCTGGGTATTTTATTAACAAAGTCTTACTTGAGGATGTAAGAGAGCTTTTTTATAGTCTGGTTTTATCCTAGTCTGCTTACAATTGTTAAAATATTACCCTAAAGAAAGATGATAAAAGCAGTCTATGCGACAACATTCCACTCAATGATCAGTAAACATTTAGCTGGAGTGATGAAATGCCTCATTGCTGATTGGCTTCAAAGAGCAGCAGCCTTTTCTTTCCTAGTCAGTCTTTAATCAGCAAAATCAGGTCTCAGGTGGTTTTGTGCCAGTAGAATGGACCCACTCATTCATTTGAGATGTTTTGCCGCTTTGCTTCCCTGACAGACATCTGACAACAGGCATCCCCAGAGCGATTGCACTTTGCAGCTAGAACCTCCTCCTACATGATACCTTCTTCTCATTGTTTTGAAGTGTTCCTACAACAAACAAGCTTTGATATCAGCTCTTGAGTTTTTAATTTGTTGTTTTTTGCAGAATTCCTGACGTTTTGTGATGATAAGGAAATGCAAACTAAAGCGAAGCATCTGTTTGTGATATTTTTGCCCAGAGGAAGAGCAATTGAGCATAATGAACAGATTGGTTACTTTATTTAGACTGAGCTGCTGAAGGGTAAAACTACAGCCCTGTCAGAAATACTGTAGCACCCTCTTCTGATCAGTTTGGTCAAATACAAAAATAAGAATCTTTTCCTTTTTTTTGGTTTATGAAACCTTTAAATATGATCGATTCCAATTCCCGGCCCATTCATTACACTTTGTTATATAATTTTTTCTTAATGTTGTATTTTCAGACTGAATTTGACTTTTATTAAAGTCTTAATAATCATTAATGAAATAATCTTTCTGATAGCGATCTTTACCAATATTTCTGTCCTTTTTCAACGATGATTTATAAAACCCATTACAATATCACTGCTATTTAAAAGTGTTTTTCTTATTTTTGTTATGCACGTCATGTTAAAACTACCAAGGGAGACATAAAACACACTCTTGACATAATAATTTACATTTACTACAAAATTAGAATATAGACGGCTACATTTCACACAGTTTATAACAAGAAAAAAAAAAAAAAATGTGACTCATAGAATGAAACATCAGTGCTTTTTACAATCATAAGACAAGAAAATGAAGTGATGCAGAGCATATTTATATAACATATCTGAAAAAGTAATGGTGCATTTAAGATGTCTGCCAGCTTCCTCTCTGTCTGGGTAAGAATCTCATGCTGAGCTGCTCGGCCTCCTTGTGATGCTCCACAGGCTGCTGGGAAAGGTTGTTAGTCTGTGGGAGGCAGTCCAGGGTCAGGCCCTCGTGGGGGCAAACGGAGTACTGAGATAGCAGAGTCGCCAGGATGGATTTCATCATCACCATGGCAATGTGCTTGCCAACGCAGGCACGAGGTCCTGAGCCGAATGGCTGGAAGTAACGGCGAGGAGTCTGGAGGAGGACAGGCAGCATGTTGAGGAGGAGGATGGAGCAGAGTTTGGTTAAAAGTCTAATCAAATGACTGCGAGTTAAAGCTGTATTTTTTAAGCTCTATTTCAATTATTTAAGCAAAGAATAAAATCATTCTGTTTTGTTTAGGATGTAACTCTATATGTATGATAATTTTCTGTCCTAATAATCCGTCCTTCAAGTGCAATGCTGCACATCTACATCTTTTAAAAAGAACTTCCTTTAAATTTATTTCCAATGTACATCAGGATTTCCTCCTGCTGTGATTTATTTTGCAGATTGGCAGCACATGCCATGCCAATATCTGCAAATACCATCCCCATAGTTTGGCAAATTGATTTAATTATTTTTTCCTTCTTCAATCCCCTCTACAAATACCAAGTTGTAAATGTTAAAGGATGATGAAAAAAAATACAAAATAGCTCAAAAAGAAAGCTTCATTCACCTTCACTTCTACTAATTAAACATTTTAATTGAAATACCAATGCCAGCTTTCACTCTGGAAAGACTTCAACACTTACATTTTTTTGGAAATTCTCAAGACTAAACTCGTCAGCCTTGTTGAAGAACTCGGTCCGGTGCATGCGGCCGGTGTTCAGGATGATATTTGTGCCCTTTGGGACCTTGTAGCCATCTATGACATCGTCTGAAAGGGATCGTCTCATGGTGAAGTCCACCACTGGGTGGAAGCGAAGGCCCTCATTGATGAAACTCTCCAGAACCTGTAGTTTCTGAAGATCTTTGTTTTTAGGGTGTCTGTCACCTTCAAAGACATACAGCTCAGTTTATTATCAGGAACTGGGATATTTCCCTGCCCTGGTGGTTCATGTGCACTGTAAAAAATGACCATAAAACTATAGTATTAAATGTTTAAAACAAATGTGAGGGTTTAAAGGTATACTATTACAGCTCTATAATAAAACCTTGTTTCTTGTGCAAAACATCAGGTGTAAAACTACAAAATAGGCAGATTGTAACCTGTGTTGATGGTCTATTGTTAGACGCTTACCTAAAACAGTGTCTATCTCCTGCAGCAGCTGCAGCTCTACATTGGGGTTTTGTTTGAGGAGCAGCAGCATGAAGAAGAGGCTGATGGACAAGGTGTCTGGTGCTGCGATCACCATCTCCAGCACACATTGCCTCACGTTCTCAGCCGACAGTTCACCGTGGCTCTTAAAGGACACATGCAAAGGGTCAGGACAACAATAAAAAACTGCAATTCTTTGTTTGGAAACATGCCACAATGTGTTATTTGACTCACTTGTGCAAATATGAGGTCTGCTGTGAAGTTGATGTCCAGCTTATCTGCCTGCTCCAATTGTCTCCTTTTTTGTTCTACAAGGCTTTCAATGGCATCCTGTAGCTCCTGGCTGTGGGGAGATAATCAAATGAGATGTTAAAAATAAACCCTTAACGTTAACAACTGGCAGCACGATGACTTACGCTGCGGCTTTGTGTCTTTGGTGAATCCAGCCAAACTTGAAGTAGATGTCAGGTTTGATCAGCACCGTCTGCCATGTGTCAAAATACTTTTGAATCTTCAGCAGCAATTCTTTTTCTGCAGAAAAATGTTATTATTAGTCCAATGTAAATTACCACTCCTATATTAAAAGAGACACCTGACAATATTCACCATTAAGAGGCACATCCAGGAAGAGTCTGTTGGAAATGTCAACCACAGTGCAACGCAGCAAACTAAGGACGTCCACATGAGCCAAGCTGTGCAGGTTGTCTAGGTGGGACTGTGCAGAGGAGACACAAACCTCCACTGTCTGCTGCAAATTGGGACCTGTCAGAGCTAAAACATTTTTTTTCAGTGTGAATTACAGTCTTGTTAATTATCAGCATAGTGCACACCTGGTTTGAAGCTCTTAGGTGATACCTTTGGCGAAATAGGTGCGTATTTTCTTCCACAGAGCCACGTTGTTGTTAAAGATGATTCCTCTCTCGTTCATGCCGAGGCAGCTGAGTCCTGGTTTGCTTCCAAAGCGAGATGTGTAATTTGAATTCTTCAAAACATGATTAACTGCTGAGGCTCTGAGAGAAAAAAGGGACATACATGTTGTTAGAATAACAGAGAGGTTCATGGGGTATTATCAATACTAATGAATAAAACCAACCTGCTGAGTATGAGGGTCTCCTCTCCATTGATCCACACTCTGACAATGTCTCCATACTTCTTGTTGTAGTAGTTGCTTGCTGTGCCAATGCCAGTCCAGATAAATCTCAAATAAGACAAAAGGGGACCCAAACCCAAGCAAAACGATGGGCCTGTTAAAGAAATGCAGCGTGTTGAAGCATTTGTTAAAATCAGTGTTATGGCTAAGAAGTGCAATCCAAACGTACCTGGAACAGCCTTTTTCTCTGTGTGACTCCACGCCACCACCAGAAGACAAACAAGCACAATGAGGGTTCTTGTTGCAATTGGGATTGCAGGGGACAGGCTTCCAGTGGTGTTTGAGGAAATGGAGACCAGGTCTGCCACCACACCATCCAGATCCACAGGAGTCATGGTAGCACTGCAGGAAGAGATCAAATCCATCAGAAGGAAGGTGCAAAGCAATCTCTATATAGCCCCTGGAACACGACTGAGTGTAAAATGCAGAAAGCTGTCTGGGCTTTCTCTTTATAGGCACGTTGAGCTGGCGAAGAGCCAGGTCAGGGTAAAACAAAAGCCATAACATCTTTGGAAAATGGTAAACATTACAGAGAAGACCTTGAGAAGCTGGATTTGTGCCTGTGCCCTTGAGTGTAGAGGTCTTAGTTGAACGGGTGCATGTTAGAATGAGTCTTTGTTTGACACTTCAATGCTTAGCAGCATTTGATCTCTTTTGAACATTAAAGGAGTAGGATTCTACACATAACAGCTGGCTTTTGGAACCCTGCTGTTATCGCCACCATTATGAGTTTTATCTCTCAGCTGCAATTCAGTGTTGGTTTGCTTCTAAATAATAAATGCTCACATTTTGTTTTATGTGGCTGTATGTGTGTTATATGGCTTTTAAATTAATTTAAATGATTTTTTTCATTATGAAATCACATACATTTTTAACAGAATATGAGCTTTTTAAAGTATGCATCAAATAATAAATGAAATAAATAAAAAATATTTTCCTTAGATTGAGACCTGTTAAGGTATACTGGGAATAAAAAAGAGCTTTTTACATATTTGGCTCAGATGTTACCTGAATCTTTTTTTCCACACGTTTCTAACTAATTTACATGCTAAATAGCTCCAGCCATCTGTAAGGATTTCATTTACCTAACCTCTATTCTATTTTTTGCTTTATTAGGGGGACAAAACATGTTTTGGTGAAACTTTGCAATAACTATCATTACCACCAATTATAAATGGTAAAAAAAAACTAATTAATTAATAATTAAAAGATTGTTTATTATTGTTTGGTAATCATTTATAAACTGCATCTAAACGATATCTAAAAAGTTGAATAGATCATATTTCCCTTCCATGTCAGCTTAGCCCTCTAAACTCTAATATCAGAGGATTAAGACTTGAACTGAGCCTTTATTCTTAATTTAACTTTTTAATAAATTGCCTATTTACCTTTTATGAATGGTTGATATGACGTTTATAAATTAATCAAACATTAATAAATTATGAGTTAAATGTCTATAAATGGTTTGTTTACATTTAAAAATGGTGGTTTTGGTTGATATTGTAAAATGTAACCGTGAACATTACCATTTTATCATTATTAATGTCTTTCCCCAGAGGTTCCATAGTAAAATTTAAAACCTTACACTACAAGCAGCAAAACACCACACTATAATCTGTGAGGGAGATAAAAGCTCTTATGCTGCTGTACCGAAATCTAAGCTGTTAAGACCTTATTTTCATGCTTGATGTGCATCGCTAACTCCATCTTTTTTTGGCATAGAATTCAGCAAATAGATTTTCAGTTCCAATCTTTCATTTCTATTATGCAGGGGAATCTTATTTTCAATTAGTGATAGCCAGTTACAAAACATTCCTTTTTGATTGGGACATTTTAATTAAACCAAACAGGCTTTATTTGTGAAATGTGAATATTTTATGGAGTTTGCATGAAAACTCCCATTAAGCCATCTTCTACCCACTTTGGGGTCAATGGTTCACTTAGTAGAAGTCCATAACAGAAGAAAACATGACTGGTAGTTTTTGTTCTCCAGAGGAAACCAATAGAAAATGAGTGTATTTGGAGAAAGCAGAGAACAACTCTTATCGGTCACTCTATGCTTTGCCAAATTGTAGCCCTGAAGCTGCCATTAGGATGTCTAAACAGAAGACATCAACTAATTAAAATAATGCACCAACATAAGGAATTACTGGAAACTTTAAAGAGCCATTGGTAATTTAATTTAAAACAAAGTCTACAGTGTTTGGCTTTATTTCTCCATTTGCTGTGTTTCTCTGCATGAAAGGCTCTGTCATTTCGCTCACCGCCCACATTTTAGCCGAAGAATGCGCCCTGTTCAGACGGAGGACTGTGCGCTTAGGGCCTGCCACATTAAATGAGCCCTGTGTGACGCTTAGACCAAGATTTTTCTGCATGATTAGGCAGCGGCAGCTCCTCTGTAAACTTGTCTCTGGGTTCAGAGTTGTGGTCAACCACAACTTTGTCTTTACATCTGAACAAACAAGATTATTAGATTGCAGAGAGGTTAAATATCAGGTGATGTGCAAAGTCAATGCAAAATCTTGACCTTCTGTTATGATGATTTTAGAACCGCAAACAATGAAAAAATAGTTGTGTATCCCTTCATGGATATTAAATTGTTAATAATTAATAAAACATATAATGTGTTCCACCAATGCTTCAGTGTGTTTTGAAGAGAGGATTAAGATACAGAGCAAATGTAAGTAGATATCAGTTCAAATGATCAAATCTATGTTGTAAGACTTGCTTAAGGAACCTTGAAAGATGAAGATTATCAAATACGTTATAAAGGCTTAGCAGAACTGGTGAGAAGATAAGATAATAGGGAGATAATAGTCCTACTGTTCTCTAGCAAAGATGCTTAAGGACCCAGACAGAAACAGAAATTTTATTGTTTCCTCTCAGCATTTAGCAATAAAGTTCACTTTTGTTGCACTAACTTTAAATTTCTGACATATCTTTGTACTGAAAGCCTTTTAGGATTCAAAATATGGTCAAAGGGTTTTGTTCTGATATAGGTTTTTTTTGGCCTCAGAATATTGGTCTTTTTATAGCTTAATTTAATTTCTTTGATCTATTTTTCAAATAGCAGTTTTAGTTTAAAATAAGGATATTTTGTATGAGATGACTTCTCTAAACGAACCTGTAGACTTTAATAAAATCCCACCTTGGAAGCCCTGAGAAGGAGGATGAACTTTCCTTGGGAATATGCCAGGTTATCTCAGTGGCCTTAGTGAACTTCTAAGTTTGGCAGCAGGGAGGACAGATGAAGGTCCTCTTCTTGCCCCGCAGAAAAGTTCATTAAAACAGGAGGATTCGAGAAAACTGTTGTTTGGTTTCTACATTTTAGAAGTTATAACAACATTCACATCTAAAGTCATCTGCAAGATTTTGGCCTCCATTACCAAATGGTTGCCTCTCACTGCTTTTTATCAACTAAGCTTAGGGCAATAAAACAGAAATAACAAAGAAGCAGCCTCCATGTTTTTGAGACTTTATCTTATACATGTCTACACATCTGGAAGAGCATTTCAGGCTGCCTAACCACTGACCGTCTGTGACCTACAGCCTCAGGCATGTGCAAAAACCAAATCTAACAGTAATGTTGAGAAGTTGCTTTTTTCTTGCCTTAATTCATTTAAATATCTTTTACATCATACATCATTTATCATTTACATATCTATAAAGACACAAATGAGTTAACTTAGTTTTGAAAGTTCCAAAACAAAAGAATAACAAATTCTTAGAGTTGGTTGTTAATTTATTTCTGTGATGAAATGTCACCGTTTAGGTGAAATGTCCCAGTTACAGCCCAAATCCCAAAAAAAATAAAAACTTTACGCATGAAAAAACGCTGCCAAAAAGTGACACGGCTGAGAGCTGGAGGGGAGGTTCAGAGAGGACAGAGGAGTTTGGACACTGAAGGAGATGAACCGACTCAAAGGAGCCGATGTGACATTGATGTTCTCTGATGTCCACTTTCTCTGAATAAAAAAAAAATACAACCATAATGTACCAACTCAGAGCTGTGTCTACTGTATTGAATGCTGTGTGTGAGTTCTTTTGTGTGTGCATCATACAAATGTGCATGTCCAAGTGTGTGTTTGAGCGTGGATGATGTCAGTCTGCCCACGGCGGTGCAGTAGAATGGCTTCTGATGAATATAAATCAGGTGACTGAACAGGCAGGGGTTTCTTCCCAGACAAGCTCCAGAGATTGTGTAATGCCCACTCCTACATTACTGGTTGGATGTACATGCATGCACATACACACAACCCCTTTTGCACTGAGTGAACAACACACCAACACTGTATTTACCAGTCAGTGTTCAAAGTAGACCACCAGGGTGGAGAGCACACATCATCGGGATTATTTGGAGCTTCCAAATGGCGTTCCTTTGAATTCCTTCCTCTACAGTGATTTGATTTTAGTGTCAGATTTTAGGTGTTTTCCTCTAAACTGGAACTTTTTTCTGGTGTGAATGTTGAAGCAAATTGTGGACCCTCAGAAGCGAGGAAGTGAGGTCCTAACAATGTGGATCCCGACACCCAGCATGACTCTCCCACAGCGGATGGTGCTGTACGGGACGTGTGCGGTGGCACTGGTGAACTCTGTGGGCCTCCTTGTACTCATGGTCCAGCAGAATCAGCAGCGTGCATGGCTGGAGCAGACAGAAGCGAGGCTCACAGAGGTGGAACAGAGCTCCGTGGTGGAGTTTTTCCAGGAGCTGCCAAGAGGAGCCGCTGGACTCAGAGCGGGCCCCGGGGACTATTCCCAATCCCAGCAGTACTCCAGGAACAAGAGGAGCGAGGGGCTGGAGAAGGATCTGCAGCAGGAGCATCGACGTGAAGAAGAAAAGGAGCTCCAGCTGAAGGAGGCCAGCCAAGAAGTTCTGGAGGAAAAAGTGGAACTAAAACATGATTTGAAGCAAAAGCATCGACACAGCCACCATTACAAAACACAGGATGAAATGATGATGATGATGACTTACTCCATGGTGCCGGTGAGAGGACTGCCAACATTTAAATGCTTAGAAATGTTCATTAGTTTTTATTTTTATTAAGTTTTGACTTTGATTTTCAATTTGATTGAAGTTTTCATTCACTTATTGTATTTTTTAGCTATTTTAGTTTTTATTAGTTTCAGTTATAGTTTTAGTCTTTAATGTAATATGATGACAAAAAAATAATATTTATATATCAGTATTTTGAGTTTTTATTTAATTAAATCAGCTAAAACTATTATCACAGGCAGTATGTTCCTTCAGGAGAAAAACTATCCAAGATTACTACAATGGCGGATAATGGGGAATGGGGATATAAAACAACACCAAAACCAATTTTTTTTTTAAAATATTCCCTCTGTTTTATACTTATATATCAGCATTTAATCACAGCTCTGCTAACTTATAAATATTCAGCTGCATGCTTACCTAAATGTTATTTAAAATCTCTTATTTTTCTTCCATTGCATTTCAGTAAATAATGAAATGGATATATTTATCGTTCCTTTTTAGATCAAATTGTTAATTGACATCTGTAACAGCACCAAAGGAGTTTGCCTTGCTGGTATGTCTTCATGAATGACCCAGATATATTCAATTTTACAGACAAAACTAAAACTTAACTTATTAACAACCTTATGCTTTGCTTTTTTAGGACCACCAGGACCGCCAGGTTAGTTAATGCATGAATCAAAAAACAAATCTGGAACATCGCCTGTTTTCCCATTTCTGGATTAATCAGCTGACTTTGCTAAATATTTTCTAATTTCAACCAATGATTTTTTTTCCCTCTCTATGCGTGTTTCTGTAGGCTTGCCCGGATTGCCAGGCCACAATGGCACTGATGGCATTCCAGGACTGAATGGATCGCCTGGAGCTGATGGAAAGAGAGGGAAAAAGGGTACAACAAAAGGAAGCCTGCATTCTTTTCATTTTTCATTTTCTACTGGGAGTAATGGTCCCATTAGTGAAGAATTCATGGCATAATGTAATATTCAAAAATCATGCACTGCTGAAGAACTCACTTTCAGGTAGGATAAATAAACACGAGCAAAGTATACAGGCTGAAGAAGGCTTACACATGTTTTGGCTGAACAAAAATAAACATTTACATTTATCACTACATTTTCTGCTTTATCTTTCAAGATAAATATGAGCTTCTTATCTTATAGAATAACCTTCAACATAAAATTACATAAATGATTTGACCCACAACTAGGTGAGTACTAAATGTGTTTCCCTAATAATCGGGAAGCAAGCAGTTTTCTTTCTTTGTCTGAGGGTCATTAGGGAATCCATGCGTCCATATTTCCTCATTTATAGTATATAACACTCGTTTATTTACAGTGAAGTATCTAGATACAAGATTGAAATAACAAGAAAATAACAACATAGATAAGTAGAACGATTTGTTATGGTGTATTCTGACTGTGCTCTTGGATGTCTGAACCACCAAGTAAAAGAAAATTAAAATCAAAAACAGCTTTGAAAGTTAAAGTCTTCTCATTATTCCCAAACTAACATAGAATAAGGCAGCTGCATGTGTAAAACATAGTGATGGCTGCATTAATTAACTGCTTCTGTGCATGTGATGGTTTGAGTCTCCACTAGATACTGCTAATCCTCATTAGCTCCTTTTGTGTTGGATACATTGTTTTGCCGAAAAATATAATATTGTTTGGCTTGTGTTGCAAATCTCAGCTTATCTGCACCGTGAAGGTGTTTAAACCACATTGCAACATGAACAGAAACATACTGGTCACAAAAAATGTAAAACTGCATCTGGGAAGGATTTCATAAAATGTGTAAATCGTTGTCCATTTTACATTCAAATGCTGAGATGGTGAGCAATAAAGCTTGTTCAGCACAGTTAGATACAAATCATCAAAAATTAGTGTATTTCGTTAAGTACAGCCGCTTTTGTCCCTCTTGTTCTGGAGGGGTTGGGGGCAAACCTCAGATTCTCAGCTGAACTGAATTTGAAATCATCTTTTTTCTAATGTAAGCACCACCGCTGTTGCTTTGCTCACTTTAAAAGTCACAAAGCCTTGTTGTATCACATAATTATAGAAATAGTGGAGGATTTTCACAAATTTTTGAAAAGACCCAACCTCTCAACTTAAAAAAAAAATGCACATGCACAACCTGTACCTACTCCCGAAAGGAAACACCTATTAAACGCGTTTGAGAACAATGCATTAGCCTATTTCTCCTCATGCACGCTCTGTTTAAATGTTGCCGCTTGCATCGCTAGTACAAGCTTACTTTCCAAAAGAAGATTTGCTAATTTTCCACTTTGTCTGACATACTGTACCACAGGTAAGTGAAAATGGGGACGAGCACGTAGGATGGCCTTACGTAAACATATCACCAGAGTGATTGACAATTAGGGGGACCACTTATTTTGATGATCCACCCGGAAAAAGAACATCCTCCACTATACCTTTAATTTCCAGTTCCCCGTTTATGAGATTAAACATGTCTGGTAATATTTTGAACAATTCTACAAAAATAGGGTTTTATTTTACCACTGAAGCCTTTTAAAACACCCTTTTGAAAAAAAAAAACATATTAAGTTAATCTTTTCAACTGTAATAATGTCAGATGTTTCAATGCTGCTGTGTCTAACACAGGAATAGCAGAGGAGGTGGAAATAGTGTTTTCCATCTGACTCTTCCAGAAAACATTACTCATTACTGTCGCCTTCAGTTTTGGTTGAATGAAAGGAAGTTCTCTCAGTTCTCCCACTTCTTCTTTTCGACTTCAAATGAATTAATTGATATTTTTCAAGAAGGTCAAAGTATTAAACGTGTTTTTTGTTGTTTAATCCAATGTTCTCCGCAGGACCTCCAGGTGAAAAAGGAGAGCCAGGGGAAAAAGGAGAGCAAGGAGAGCCTGGACCACCAGGAGAGGCGCATGAAGCGTCCAATGATGTCATTATTGAGGGTAGGCACAGTATTCATAAACTACACATATTTTCATATTATAAAGATTATAATTTCATTGCCGCTTGTCGCTTAGGGCCACCTGGTCCCCCTGGCCCTCCAGGACCCCCTGGGCCTATGGGACCTCCTGGGCCTCAAGGGCCGCCCAGGACGAGGCAGCACAGAGCTCACCTGCAGACCGCCCACACTATTGGTAAGCTTCAACTTTAACCCTATAGCTAACAAATCATTTAATTTTTCTTAATTTAACATATCAAAGTTTAATAATGTTGAAGAACCTCTGTGAGAATCTCAATACAAACTAATGACAGACTGAGGAAGCACATCATGTTGATACAATCATACCATGTCTAACAGGGTTGATGCATTCAGTACCAAACGATGAAACCTTGACTGTGAAAGAGGCTTTGAAACAACAGGGAAACCCTGCTAAGAAGAATGGTGAGCGTATTTTAACAGCAATCAGTGATCTCCAAGGGTTCAGATCTAATCATGTTTGCTTTCATTCAGAATGCCTCATTAAGTCTCTGATAAATCCCAGAAATGTGGCAAAGATGGAGACCACATTTGGCACTTGGATGAAAGACAGCGCTCACCCGAATGATGAGAGAATATGGGTGGCAGAACACTTCTCAGGTGAGTGGGTTTAACGCTCTTTCTGCTAAGGAGGTCTTACTGAGACGGTGGAACATGAAGGTTTTCTGTGACCTTTCTCAGGCCGTTTGGTGAAAGAGTACCAAAGCATGGCTGCTTTCCACAACAACAGCAGTGAGATGGTGGATGTTAAAAAGTTTTACCAAGGCTGTGGTCACACCGTCCACAATGGCTCTTTCTATTATCATATAGCTGGGACTTCTACTATCGCCAGGTGGGCTATGTTCATGATTTTATTGTCAGATATTTTCCATTTCAGCTTCATATAATTCAATCCTTTTTTTCTTTTACTGTCTTTTCAGATTTGACTTCAGAACCAGGAGGCTTCACACTCTCTTTATAGACAACGCCTTGTTCAACAACCTTTCATATCTGCTGACCAACTCTAAGACCTATTTCAAACTGGCAGCAGATGAAAATGGCCTGTGGTTGATATTTGCCTCCAGAGTAGATGAGAGCATCATGGTAGCCCAGCTGGACCAGAAGACCTTCTCCGTCACGTCCTACATCAACACCACCTACCCCCGCGCCAAGGCCGGCAATGCTTTCATCGCCTGTGGTGTGCTGTACGTCACAGACATCAAGGACGCTAGAGTCACCTTTGCTTTTGACTTGCTGAAGGGAAAGGCAGTCAATATGACATTTGACTTAAGGTCTGCAGAGGGAGTTTTGGCTATGCTCTCCTACAGCCCGAAGGACAGGCACCTGTATGTGTGGGACCACAGCTACGTCAGGCTCTATGTGGTCCATTACATCTCGGATGAGTGATAATGACAGAGACACAACTATTACATCATGCGCTTGAAGCAAATCCCCTGTTGACAAGCCATGCACTATATTTAGAAGAACATTTCCTTTGTAAACTTTACTCTTTATTATCTTAAAGGAACCTTCAGTCCAAATAAGTCTGAATATAGGTTTCTAAGCAGTGAGCTGACATTAGGTCATTATATTTCTGCATTACTTGTATACATTCAAAGTTTGCTTTTACTGTTACTAACAGATTGAATGCTTATATTTTTATTTTCCCCATGCAAATCTCAACTACTCTGCAATATCCATCTTTAATGTTGCAAGGATTAACTTTTGCTCAAGTAAGACAATGAAGAGACTGGGATCTTTTAAAGTAAGAATGTGACTTTAGTTCCCATTTAACAGTAAGAAAAACCTGGAAAACGCTCCTGGTTACAAAGTGAACCTATAATCTAGTTTGTATTGTTTAGTGATTGCATGCGCATCCCTTTTCTTGAAGAAAGCTGTAACTCCCTCCCCGAAATTGTTCATGTTACTGGCAAATGTAGGTTTTTCCAAGTCATCTTTGGGTTTTACAAAAACCGACTCAACCAGAGTTCGGACTTTAGTCTTATGGAGAACCTGTAGACGGAGCTAAAGCTTAAGGTGATGGCAAAGAGGCCTTGTAAACTGAAAGGCAAGGAGATCATCACTGAATTATAATTAATCCAAAAAAATGCAACATTGCCGAGCTCCTTTAAGGTCGGTTGATCTATCAAGAGGCTCCTATTCCATTTACTGACACAAAAAAAAAACGTAGGCAGCACATTCAAATATTCCGACATCTGCCAGTGGTATGAATGATTCTGGCCTTAATGTACGTTTCGATGTTTTTACCCTTTACCAATCTGTGACGAAGCTGCAGGATTGCCAATTATCCACGTCCACAAAAACAAAAGAAACAAGAAAAGTAAACCTGATGAAATAAAAATCATTTATTCACTTTACATAGGTAAAACTGTTACCTCGACCCGTCTCTCAGATACACCCTCTGGTTTAAGGGTCCTGGCAAACATCTAACGATCATATTGGCTTCCTTTGCATGCACACACCCACACGCACACACACCCGCACAGCGAACACTATTGGAAAAACTCCTAAAACACATACAGCACATGTAGAGGGCAGAAAGAGGGAGGAACACTAATCTCTTTAATAAATACCGTACATACACTTAACAAAAGTCACAACTAATCCAACTGGTATGATACAAACCAAAAATAAAGAATCATGTTTGTACAAGCTGTTATGGTTCCTCATATATATATATATATATATATTTATATATATTTATATCATTTGTATAGTAAAACTATCTTAAACGCTTTACTACTAGGGCAAATAAAGCCAGACATTCATTTGTATACAACAGTTTCTTCTCTGATTATAATATATATACGAAACAACCTTTTAGCGTCTCCAGAATTTGAGTGCAAATATCAATTCCTTATGGATGAACTAAAAACAGCTGGCGAGGTAAACACTCTCACAAACAGTAGACTGTTGCACATCTTCCAATCACATACAATAAAAGCTCTTGCAATCCTAAAATAAAAGGCAATAAGTTAAACAAATGAATAGTAAACCAAACACAAACATATAAATACTTTAAATATTAAAATCAATCTAATTAAAACAAACGAAAAAAAAAAAAAAAAAAATGATATTTTGTGCAAAAAAACAGAAGTGAACCTTTGTGTTTCTGCTCTGGGCGGTGGGGTGTTTTTCGAGTTAGACAACACGGATGAAACATTAAAGTTACAGTCACGGGGTCGGGGTGGGAGGAATGTTCTAGCAGCGAAGGCTGTCACACTAACAGGCATCTGACAGGCAGGCGGGTGGGTAGGCAGACACAGCAGAGAGAGCACACACTTGGATCAGGTTGGACTCAAACCAGGAGAGGCCACAGTGAGCGATGGGCAGCCAGTGATCAGTGCGCCGGAAGGGAAAGAGCAGTGCTCCATCAGCTCTTCCATAGGGGGGAGGGGGCAGGGAGGGCAAAACCATTGAAACAAAAAATCTCAACAACTTGAATCACACTGGAAACCACTGACTTAATAACGAACCACAGTGCTGGTTACAGTAGATGATAAAGGAACTCATCTGTGAGCACAAAATGACGACAGTTACACACTTTTAAAATTTTTGCTTGAGCACTTTTACAGAGCACTATCAATAGACCTGTGATTGCACTGCGTAACGAGAACAGGACATGCATAGCTTCCCTATGGACACACTCTATGAGAAGAGATTCATCAATAAAATACAACAAATCTAGCATAAAAATCAAGTATGATACCTTTTGTTTTCAGCTTTTGGGACGAAAGAAAAAAAAAAGGTTTGCAGCTCCGTTTGTCATTCGGACTTAAATCAACCTTAGCAGTCAACCCATGAACTCTGCAATGAAATCATGGCAGCCTGGTGACAAACTCTATCCTCATTTACTTCTTACAGGCTAATAGAAAAGCCTCTATAATTTTGTCTTTTTTCATCTTTGGACCCTCAGACGTTGAAGCAGCGATCACAGGACGTCAACAATGCTGCTGGCGATATTGTAGCGGTCAGGGAGAACCCTCATTTTTAAGGTGCCGTCCGCTCCACAGGTAAATATTCGGTTTCCCGGTCGCGTCTCCACTTTCATGACACCGGCACCGATGTTGCGGAAGATTGACTGCTTAGCATGTTCATTGCTAAATGAGTGCATGAGCCCGTGGCCTGCTAACTTCCAGACCTGGAGAGAGAAAAAAACAAAGAAAACTTTGCTTTTATTGGTTAATCAACCAATGACTGCCAAACCAAATGTCCCGTTTCCAGACAAGGTGTGAGCAGTTAAAAACACGTTACCTTGATGTTGCCCTCTGCAGAGCCGGTAACGAAGAAGTCCTCAAAGGGATCAAGGGCCAGGGCCTTGATGGCTGAGTCATGGGCCTGGAAAGTGTGCAGCAGCTGTCTCTGGCGGATGTCAAACACACACACAAAGCCTTTCCTGCCTCCAGTGATAAGCAGCTGCTGTTTCTGAGCATACTCCAGCACAGTGGCCCCATTCTCATGGCAGGGGAAGGCTGAGGGGGGCAGGAGGGGAGAAATATGAAGGGTGCAGTAGAAAGGAGCTTGTTTTCGTGGAATCATACCATTAGATTTGTTTTTATCGTAACACATAAGGTTTCTTACCATGGACTATAGTATTGCCAGGTGAAATCAGGGTGTCCCACAAGCAAACGTTTCTGCAAACATTAACATAATAAATTGGGAGTTAAAAAAGTAAACCCTTTTTATTTAGTTTTCAATGCAGATGCTGACCTGTTATCATTGGACTGCCCAGCTGTTGCAATCAGGCTGGAGGATGTGATGAAGGCAAAATCGCCACAGGTCTTTGAGTGGCACTGCCAACTCTGACAGCAACAACAACAGAAAAGCAAGTTAAAAGTGGTTGTTCCTTACCAAACAACAGGAAGTAAAGGTGGGAAGTTGACCTCACCAGGTAAGGTTTGGGGTTGGACGATGTCTGATTGACCTGCCAGAGGCTGAGGAAACCTTCGCCATCAGCAACTCCACACTGCAACAACAGTTCAGGATAATCAGAGCAAGCAGACAAAACAGCCGACGCTCTCTCTCCCTCTCTGTGTTTGTGTACCTTATTGCCTTGGGAGTTGAAGTAGAGCCGGGTGACACGAGCGTTGCCTGCTTGTCTGAAGCAAATGAGCTGCTGCGGTCTGTTCCATTCAAACATTCTCACACTGCCATCCTGAGCCCCCGTCATGTCTGCAGCACAGGGAGGTAAACCGGCGTATGTCACAGGCAGGAGTACAAATGAAGACAGATGATGCATTATAACAAATTGATGATGTTAAAACCAATGAGGTGAAGTCACTCACAATACTGATATATTGGGTGTGATGTCATTCTCTTCACGTTGTTTAGATTTCTTTTCATAATCTGCAACAGAGTACAGTAAATATAAAATAAAGGGCATTATGTAACATTGCTTGAGTCTTTTAAAGCATTTAATTAGAGAGCAAAAGTAAAATGAGGAGTTTTGAATGTTAGGCTCAATGAACATTAGCAATATTAACACGCCAGACTATCAGATATCAAATGATTCTATTAGAAGATATTTTTATTGGTTCAAAATTCGACTGAATTGATCTTATATGTAAAAAAAAAATTTAAAGGTATTTAAAGGTATAAATAAAAGTAATTGTCTTTTATATAACTTTTATATAACTTTCGCCGGCGCAGTGCACTGCGCCGGCGAAACAACTAGACCTCCTGAGGTTTTTCAGAGCTGTATTACTACAAAAATAACAATATATCATCTTTGCGTCTATATCGGAACATATAGAATATCATGACAGATGTGTCATGATATTCTTACCAATTCACAACCCTAAAATCTGAAAATTTTTAACCCCTTCTGCAAACCGGTTTATTAGCCAAATAAACACAGAGCTTTTCAGCTATATAAGATGAACAAACTACACAATAACTATTAAATTTGTTACATAAAAATATATAAATACATTATTAACGAATTTACTGCTCTAAAAATATTCAACCGCCTGATCATAAATCTTTATAATAACTCTTTTTTTGCTAATCAGGTGCAGTTTTAGGACACAAGGATACAAAAAGATAAGAGGGTTCACAGTGTCTCAAGATAAATAGTCGGAGGCTTAGTTCACTAGTTTAAAGTTGAATAATTTGCTGCTGCACCACCTTAACGTGGTTCAAAGTGGAAAGAAAGGCTAAAACCAGATATATGAGGATGAAGTTGGTTGAAAACTTTCCACTGACTGCAAATCATCTGCAGCAAGAATTCAGAGCTTTCAATGTCGACATTAGTGGACTTAATTAGCCCACAATGCTCCATGCTTAAACTTTCATGGACCTCACCACTGAGCCCAAAGCACAAGAAAAATCCACTCTCACTTTCGGATAACTGTAAAAATAAGTTAAATCAATTGTTACTGATGAATTTAACAACACATTTTCACGTCACTGGATGAGTTGTATTTCAGGATAAGGAAGAAAAAGTGCTACAAATGCTACAAAGAAATTAAATACATTGTAACATGGAGGTGGCTCAGGGATGCCGTGGGACTCCTTCCTTCACCTGTCTTGGAAAGCTTGCAGCAAATTCCTGGTAAACTGTATCTAATCAAACCTGGGAATCCTGGGATAAACTATCTGAATCTCGGACATTATTAACCTTCAAAAGGGACAAAGATTCAAAGACTACTTCAAAGCTCAACAAGACTTTTCAAGATAAATATTCATATCAAACTCTAAAAAAAAAAAAAGAAAAAAAAAAAAAAAAAAAAAAAGCCCCCAAAATATTATTGAGGTTGAGGCCTTTTTTGTGTGGCTGTAAAATTAATTTACATTTGACCAAGTGCTAAGGGCTGGTTATGAAAATAATAAATACTTTTACTGCAGCAGTAGTTATTTCCACTCGAATATCTGGCATATTAAATGTTTGCATTCTAGCAAACAGATCAGCACCTTTTCCCATTAAAGGCTGGTTCTGTGGGCGAGGGGTCAGTCTTTCTCCTCAACTACTGGCAACCTGAATAAGGATTGTTAGATAAACGATTGTTTAATTAACAGAGTTTCACAGAGTGAATCCCTGTGCTCACGATCACGGTAAATCCAGGCTTGTCTTCCTTATTGTATCACACAAACCATTTATCAGCATGGCTGGGACACCGAGGTCTCTGGCTGTAAGTTTATGTGACGCAAATCTGTACCTTGGGTAGACGGCTGCAAAAGCTATCTGTGTTTATAAGCGAATCATCTCTGCCATGCGAACCCGCCCTCTTCTGTATCAGCATTCATAGACTCAGCAGCAGGCCAGGTGTTTAGTCGGCACAAGTTTGTTTGGCTCAACGTTGATAAGATTCAAAAGGCGTAAAGCTTGTCTTGTAGATCGGCAGAGGATTCACGTTGACATTTGATTTTTCATCTGCTCTTCGTAAATATAAATATTATTTAATGTATGGTGGAGACCAAACAAAAATAAAAGGTCTGCAGAACCATTCCCCAAAGTTTAGGCCATGTTTAGAAATGAGCCTTGCTTCCCAGTACTGTTTGTGACACTAGAGCTGATTCAATAATGCCTGGCATCAGTGTGCTGGTGCATGATTTCAATGATTAAACAGCTCATACCACGCTTGCTCCCATGCTGGTCTGACCACTACCGAGCCACGGCATGGAGGCAGAGACTGACATGGGTGGTGGTGCAAAGGACATAGAGCTCGCCTGGGCGATGTTTGTGTGAGAGGAACGATGGTCTATGTCATCAGAGCTGCAAAACCAAAGCAGAAACAGAAACCATCGTGCTGATTTATTTTATTTTTTTTGTAAAGTCAGAAAGAGTCTTTGAGCTAGAGGGAGTCAGACCTTCGAGATTCCTTATCAAAGTCCTCTCCGATCCAAGTGTAGGGCTGGACAGCCACCAGACTAGAGACGTCCACCTCCTGGACGTCATGGGTGGACGCCAGGACGATCTCATTGGGGTTAGCCTACCAACACAAGAAGGCATGGAGACAAGTATTAAATGGGTAAGTTGTAAAGGATTGTTTCAAACTTAATTAAAACTGAAATTAATGTGTTAAATCGATGGCTCTCCTCCCTCTTCTACCACTGCTCTGCAGGGTTTATATGTCTTTCTTTTGGAGCACACCTGATTCAAATGACTGCATAGACTCCTCAGCAGCCATCAAGTGCTGCAGATGGCCGATTTATTTTAGGGCCCTGTCACACCTTACAGATTTAACCAGCGTATGCCTGACGTCCCAGAATCTTCTAAAATACAGGTATACGCTTAACTTGCTATGTATTTTTTTCAATATTGGGCGTATACATAGTGTATTTATAACGAGTCCAGAAATTCTGTCCAAGGACAGCCTAATTCATGCATAACGCATGGCAGCATAATTTAAATGATGTACAAGCCGGTGTCCTGAGGGGGGCAGCAATGCACCTGGCGGTGCCTCGCCTGCATAAAAAAACTCTCATAAAAAACTATGGAGGAGAACTGATGTTTTCCTCCTGTGAACCCCCTTTTATACCAAAACACTGCCAGTACGCCATTATACAGTAGCTGCAAGTAAGGAACACGTTCAGTGGTCGTCTGGAACACGTCAAATACGTTGATATGCATTGGAGATAAGTTCTTGATAAGTTACGCATAAGTTATGCAAACGTTACTCATAGGTTCTGGATAAGCTGGACGCCACGACTTATGAGTAGTTTACACTTAACGCATGTCAACGATCAGATAACTTACTTGTAACTTATGGCCCATGTATGGCGTACGTTGGCATACGTCGGGAAATTTCTCAACGTGTACCAGCGTGTTCTAGTGTGCTTTGGCGTACTTCAGCGTGCTTTAGTGTACTTCAGTGTGCTCATAACTTATACGAACTGTACCCATAACTTCCCAGCATAAACCTGTGTTTTTTCCAAATTTTTCGTTTGCAGGCATACGTTGCTCTAAATCGTCAATGTGAGACAGGGCCATTCATCAGGTGTGTGGCAGCTAGGAGACAGCAAAAACACGCAGGGCAGTGGTACTGGAGGAAACAGGTTTAGAACCACCACATTAAATTAAAGGACATTTTAGGATTTCACAATTCAATTCTACATACTTCCAAAGAGTAGGCCTTTTATATATTCCTGGAAAAAAGTGACACAAAATGCTTCTGATTAGCTGCACAGATAATACTCACCCAGTTGATAGCAAAAGCCATAATTATGTCAGATTCCTTGTGAATGATTTTAGCTTTTCCTCCAGGGTAGCCCAGATCTGCCTCTACCTAAAAATGCAAATAGAAATGAAAGCTGAAGAGATATCAGAACAACATAGAGTGTATCTGAGGCTAATGAGTAAAAGTAAGAGAGGTTTTCTCTTTGGAAAGAATGTTAATTTGGCTTCCATTTAGGATTAGGACAGCAGAAAAGAACTGCAGATTTAAAAGTTAGGCTTCAGACACTTGTGTTTTAAGTCGCATCAGAAATATGTCCAGTACAATGAAACAATTAAACTACAGATACAACCTAATAAAGGAAAAAAGGCCAGTCATAAAAATATTACAGGTGCATCTCAATAAATTGGAAAAATATTGGAAGGGATGTTAATTCCAGTAATTCAATGCAGTGAACAAAACAGACCAGTCATTCTTCTTTAGTCTCCTGGAATACTAATTTGTTTTCTGAGAAAACTGGAATATTATATTTGAGATGTTTTGGCTGACAACATCATGAGGAATATGTATCTTAAATGTGCTACCACTGTTATAAACTTTGTGTTAAGTCATTCCTGATTTATAACCAATTTCAAAACTACCTTACAGTACTACGGAGAAAAAGGATCTGACTTTGGATTCTGTTTTTCATTTGAAAGTCTGGGTCTGAAGTAAGAGTGCTCTGTTAACAGTACCTCTGAAACTACACTCTTTTCAGAGTACAGATAGTGTAATGACCAAGGCATCATCACTGTGGATGACTAAGCTTACCCTTTGAGGAAATGTTATGATGGATTGTGCGGAAGACTAAACAACAGACAGCAACAAGCTAAAGGACACTATTACAAAAATATGGGTTTCCTTAAATCTCAGGTTATCCACAGTGCTATGCTGCACTGTCCTGAGCAGCTGGGGCTGCTGAGCCTGGTTCCACCTCAGATGCAAAAGTCCCATCTTAAAAAGGACTAACTTGGATCCAGTTGAGCCCAGCAATATTAAGCCCATATAAAAATTATCTTTTCTCTAAAAAATCTTGGAAGAGGTGGTAGCACAGCAACCGATGGTTTTCATATGACAAAATGATATGTTTGATGTTTTTTAATCTGGCTTTCGTAAAACGCACTCCAGAGTCTGCCTTTTTGAAAGCAATGACATCTGGATGGCTGCTGACTGAAGTCAGTACTCAGATTTAATACTATTGGATTTGTCCTCAGCATTTGATGAATTAGTATCTATCACTGCAGACTGAGGCTAACTTTGGTATTTCTGGAACAGTCCTGAAGTGGCTGTTTTCAAACCAGACAAATACAATAATGACCATGTGTATAATGTCTGAAGCCTTTAACTTCAAATGACATCAAATTACCTTTAACTCATGATATCCACTCATACATTTCTTTCAAGGACTCAAAGCTGCCCAAACTCTCAGTGTTAATGTAATCTCTTTGCTTTGTAAAGGTTTACTGAAAATTGCATTCAATCAAAATTCAAAAGACGGAAAACTCCAAAAGATCTTGGTGCTTTGAGCTCCTCTATTCAAACATCAGGAATTGTGGTGTATGGTTTGACCAATTACTACCATTTGGAAGCTGATCTAGATGAAAAACTGCTTCTATAATCTAAGAAAGACTGACAAGTTAAGGCCAATACTGTCAACTGTTACCTTGAACTTGTGATCTGTGCTTTTGTTTATTCTTGCTTGGACTGCTTTTCTTCATTCACGATTTGTTGCATTATTACATTTCTGGCTATACTCTTTGGTCTTCAGCTTGGAACCTTCTCATGGTTCCTAGAACACGCTATAAAACCAGACTCTTCCTTCTGCTCCAAGATCATGGAATGACCTCTTCTGTTCCTTCGTGTATCTGACTGTTGACTACTTCAACAAGCAGCTGAAGACTGTTTGATAGACTGTGTTTTGTTTTCAATGTTGGTTATTGTGATTTTTATCTTATTTTTACCTTTTCTATAGCTTCTGTTTTTTTTTTATGAAGCACTGTGGGATTTATATTTGACTAAATTTTTTAGTCTATTGAGAAACACCTTGTGATTTTATCTGTGAAAGGTGCTGTATGATGTGCAGTACATTACATTTGTCTAAATAGGTCAATGTTTTTAAATTAAAATCTACAACAAGTTCTGTTTCAAATACATGTAAGCCACACTCTTCAAAAGGAATAAAGTATGCTACTCTATGAGAAGTTAGTCTGCAGCAATGCTTGATTTTTTAAACTGAATTACTGGAAAAAAGTAAGTGTTTTTAAAAAAAAATATTATTCTACTTTACTGAGATGCACCAGCACATGTGTAGACGCATGGGTTAGATTTAAACATTGAAAGTTTGAGTATAGATTTGCGGTTATAAAGCTTTTCCATAACCCTGACAGTGAGCATGCGAGTTAGTCGATCTACTGAATGTGCCATCGCTTGCTTGCTCGTTTTTTGATCCAGCGAAATAAGTTCAGTTAGATAGGAGGAAGGAGTGAGACGTGTTATTTATAGGATTCGGACGTGAGGTAATGTGAACGGATGTCCCAGTGGGAGGAAAGGATCAAATGTCAGACCTAAGCCTCAGAGCCAGGAGATTTTATGAGAAAAAAAAAAAAAAAAAAGCCAGAGCAGTCACTACTAGGCCAAGCTGGAGGAGAAAACCAGTACTTCACCCAGTTTGGTGATTCCATAACCTAAAAACCACAATATTATCCCACTTGTGATGCATGCCATCTATTCTATTAATAAAGCTCTAAAATGTTTCCTCCTTCAAGCTTGGCTTTGCAGTCATTCTCAGAGACAGTTGGCCCGGCCTGATACAGTAAATGGTACTACCTTATAGGGACTGCTAGCTCCAGCTATGCAGTTTGGGTTTATACGGTCCACATGGTTCTCTAAAGACTACACAACACACAGAGGCAATATGGACACAGAACAAACCAACACGGCACAACACAACACATGCAAAAACAGAAAAAAAACATGAAATGAAAATGGAGAGGAATGACAGAGTCATACTGTATTCTTGTCTAAAAAGGTGAATAACTCAAATCTCATCAGATGCAGTAACACCAGCCTAAACACATGGAACTTTTTAAAATGCATTTAACAGCAATAGGTGGTTGTTTTTTTCTTTGCACGGTAGCGATTATGTTGCAAAGATTTCAAACAACTCCAGATATAACAGAAGGCAGCGATCTGTCATGTGTTTGATTAAAGTTGAGAAGTCAAAACAAAGATAATTAAACTAACAAAAACATAACTAACAGAGATAAAAGAATCGGTCTGAAGCTTTCTTTGTCTGAGTAGTGATGGATGTTTCAGGTCCTGGCACAAAAAATGGACTGAAATTTCTTTGATGGATAATATCCAATATCTAACTGGGCAAAAAAAAATCGCACTAAAGGTCTTAAATAATGCCAGAACAAGAGGTTTTAATACCAAATAATATATATAAGCAATAATACAATAATAATATAATATAAGCAATTCTGTTTCTGTTCAAATGGGGACAAATCACGACATAAAAGAGTCAAAGAAAGAGTAAAAGAAGAAAACCATATCAACCTCATCTGAGGAGGATTGTATCAAATAAAGCAAATGATACACAGACTGGTTTTCTAGATATATTAGTTGTTTTTAAGTTGTAAATCAGGGAAAACTGAAGCAACATTGTCTGTGTGAACTGATTCTACTGACCTCGCTCTGCTTCCTTTTCTTGGTAAAGATATAACGGATCAAAGTCTCCTGTAGAACTTCCTGTTTGACCAGGAAATGCCAAAGACGACGAACTGGGAAGGACTGATGGTTCTTTGTCCTGGAAATAAAAACAGATCAGACACCGCCTACTAGCAACTTATTTGGCCTGCATTGGTAACAGAGTGAGCAACAAATATATATATAAAGTATTGTATAAGCATAGGACTTTTTCAGCATTAATAACCAAGCAACCAATTTTTCTGCATAAAAGTAATTTTTGAATACCACTGTTTTGAATATCGTTGACTGACAATCATTGTTTTCTACTTTCGGCTACTTTAGGTCGCCAATGAAATGTAAAATAATAGCAAATATAGGCAATAATATGTTGTGACTCACAAATAGGTCTTATTTTTAAGAAACGGGTGCAATACAGTTTGTCCGAGTGGTTTTGCAATATGATGACATCATAAAAAGGGACAGGGCCCAGAGCAGATGTGGTACCTACACCGTAATCTCTAAAGTGTTCATCATCAACAACACAAAGAGGGAAATAAGTGTGATGCTAAAGGAAAATTCGATTTGTCTTGTTTACAAATACAAATTTCAAATTTTCTCATTAACTCTGACCAGCTTCTCTGATAAAAAAATATAATGATACTGCCACTACCATGTTTCAGTGAGGCGATGGTATATTCAGCATGATGTTAGTGTTTTTCTGCCTTCCCACAAAAAAATACTTCTTGGCCAAACCATTTTTGTCTCATCTGATTAGAGAACCTTCTAGTACATGTTAGCCGTGTCAACTATATGACTTATGACCATGCTCTCCTCTCTCTGCCTGCTAGTTTAGTTGGGAAGCTGTGTTTTAGTATCGATGCGTTTGAGATGAACTCTTCATTTTCAATGACAGAATAAACAGAGCTCCATGAAATTCAAAGCCTGCAATATTATTACATATAAGTTTGCTTGAACTTCTCCACAACTTTCTCCCTGACCTGTCTGCTGTCCTTCTTGGTCTCCAAGATGGTGTTTCTTTACTTCTTATTCTTCTTCTGCTGCTTTTCCTCTGCAGGCATCATCACAGCTCTCTCTCCATCTGACCCTATCTTCTGGATTAACTTTTCTCACAACAACTACATCCATGTCGTTTTCCCCTTCATCCTTATGTCTCCTCTTTGGTCTTCATCTAAGCATCCTGGCTGGTAGGTGCAGCCTCGGCATCTTTCTAAAGATATCTAAATAAAAATGCTTGAGTAACATGAATTTTAAAAGAAAAGCTCTGATTCAATACTAACTTGAACGGTGTGTTGTCAGCCTCTAGCATGGCCTTGTGTCGCAGTATGGCAGGGCCAGCTCCTGCGCTCAGGTCGGAGGGGTATGTGTTGATGTAATTGGGAGGCGGACCATCAAACTTGTTCATCTGCTCCAGTAAAAGTTGCTCCCAGTTCTCTAAAGTCTTCAGTACAGCGTTGCAAAGGGGGGAAGTGACTGGGAGATCTGTGATCAAAAGAAAGACAGAGAAAAGAGTGTGCTTGAACATAGTTGTAAACTGGAGATGGATGTTTGGGTGCAGATTAGATGCAAATTAGATAAGCAGAGGTATTAAGAGGGTACCTGTGAAGTCAAGGCCAGTGAGGGGGATAAAGTTCTTCACATTGTGATGAGCCAGTTTCACCATGACCAGACGGATCAAAACCCAGCTGTTCCGAAAACAAACAGTGATCCGTCAATCTGAAACTTCGGATGGTTAGAATATGCATAGGAGAAGATAGAGGCTACCTGTAGGAGTTGAAATCTGAATGCTCTGTCATCTGTGTGTCAGAGAGGAAGGCATCATCATCATCATCTTCGTCCTCAGCGCCACTTTCGTCTGAATCACACAAAGCGTTGCTCTCCGAGAGTGGAAGGAAAGGCTGAGAGGGAGAGAGGTACAAAGGTAAGGAAAAAATGATGCCTGACAGAGAGGTTCGCACATTTTATAGAATACCCAGGCTGTGTGTCACATGAGCTGCTTGTTGACTTTGTTTCTTACTTTAGCTACAAAATAGTCCCACATGCTCAGCTCGGGGGGAATGAACTTCTCTCTGTAGGCGGGTCTCTCTGCAGGCACAGGAGGTGGAGTGGCGGGGGTCTCTTTCACAGGGCGTCCAGGAACCAGCATCCTCATGTTGAATCTGCGCCTGTAGCGGTCCACGTCCTCTGCAGGGGGCTGAGGGGGGGCCGCTGGCATTTGGAAAAGGAAACAAGGAGCTTCAATATCTACAGTTAATCTAATAATAGAATGCGAGAAGAACGCCAAGAAGAATGAGGGTGAGCTTCAACTCATTCTTATTTCCATTCCAAATGGTGGTAAAAGCAGATCAGGAGAAGGAACACGGCATCCACACTTTATTAGGGACCTAAGCCACATAGAATTGGTTTTAAATCTGCAAAGGATGACCTTTAATTATATTGGAAATACCTGGAATATGTTGTGTGTCTTTAACACCCAAATGCTAGGTCATTTGGGAGAGGGTCATACAAACACAAACACACAAACATTTAGGATGAAGACACAGGGCAATACACAGTAGGATGGATATGCACAAACCTGCACCGTCATCCTGGGGGACTGTATCTGGCATCGTACCAGACAAAACAAGACAACACACAAACCAGAGTAGACAGTGCAGTTAGACACACAGATACCACATCTATTACTTGACTGAAAAAATAAATAACATGAAGTGGTACAAAATGCACACAAAGGACATCAAACAGATGACAAAATTTGATGAATTTAAACAAAAGATTGTCTTGATGGCACTTGATCGAGGCAGATATTGCTTTCTTTAAACAGAATTAACGTCAATGAGGATTTTTCAGAAAACGGATGCGATTTCTGCAAGGCAGCAGGTCTGCAGCATGAAGAGGAGATTGCAGTGACCCTCAAAAGGGCAGATTTTCAATGAGCAATGCCTTTCAACAGTCTGACATTTAAGATTGTCTGAGCTCTAAACAAGCTCTGTGAAAGCCTTCCTGAGAGCAACATCAGACACAGTCAGGTGATATCTAAATGCCGGCCCATATCTTCTCTCCTCACAAATACAACTGGAGAGCGCAATACTCATGTTTTATAAATTAACGGCTTTAAATTCCATATTTAGAATTGAATTCTATTAACATAGATGGTCAAAGTATTGAGTGTTACAAAATCCCTTAATGGAATTGATGCGTAACATACTTTCAACACAGCGAGTAATTCTTAAAGTGCTTGCAAAGTCTTCATAGTGCTTTAAACCAGGACAAGTTTTCCCACAATATTAAGTTAAAATTGTATGCATTTAAATTAGTTAACGAAATAAAGGAGTGTATGATTGTGCCATAGAAGACAATTTTAGAGTTTTCAACACCAACGAAATAAACATCTGAGTATAGCTGCAATTTTTGGTATCTACAGGTATCTACATATTGACATCTTACCCTTTCTTTTAATCAAAATATTTCAGCCTTTGTCAGATTGCTGCTTTTTATTTCTCACTGTGTTTGGGTTTGGACTTTGACAGGGTTTTTTTTAACACATGGATATGTTTTGATCCAAACTATTTCAAGGTAGCTCTGTTATAAACGCTGCCTTTCAATTGGGTGATTAAAGTACGATCCAAGTCTAAAGCCTCTTGCCGCATCTAACGGGGTTCCTTAAAGTATTAATATGTATTCAGCTCCAATCATCCATTCTGGCTAGCTTTTCTATCCCTGCTTAGGAAGAGCATCCTTGCAGATTTGGACACCACCATGTGTCACCGTCTGGATGGCGCATTCAGGTTGGTGTGTAGTGTTATTTCTCTGACCCCAAACGCTGTGTTGTAAATTATCTAATCTGTCAAGAGCTTCCTTCACATGTTTGTTGTTTCCCCTATTTAGCTTGTGGTATAATTGAATTGTGACTTTCAGGGTTTTTTATTTTTTGTCAACAATAGCTTTCTTCTTGTCTCTTTCATTTAAGGCCAGATTTGCAGAGCGCTGATAGCAGCCCTGTTGACTAATTTGTAACCAAGAGACTGTTGGTTGTTCCATGCTGTCTTTGAATGGTCAGTTTTTGTAGGTTTGCAGTTGGGCCGTACCTTATCCATTTTCAAATGATGCATTTACAGTAACACTGCTCTCAAAGATTTTATTTTTTCTAACTTAAATCTTCTTTAAACTGTTCCAGAACTTTCTCCCTGACTTCCAAGCTGCAAACTCCGGACCTCTTCACAGAGCATCTGCATTAATTCAGAGATAAAGTGACACACAGGTGTACTTTTTTAACTAGTACACCTTTCAAGGAAATCAAATGCACTGGGGCAACACACCTTTTATGGTTTTCTTTGTGTAAGAAATGTAAATAATGCATTTTTTTCCCTTAAACTTCACAATGTTCCTGGTATTTTTATGGGTCTACTATAGAAAATCTCATAATTAAACAAAATGTTTAGTTGACGTGTGTCAAACTGTAAAAAATATTATGAATGCACATTATTTAGCAAGGCTTGGTACATTCACAAATATACCCAGTTATCAAAAGTGTTTATAATCCATTTTAGCTTTTTTTATATAAGCTAGACAATACACTGTTTAAGATATCCTTAAACTGGTTTTAAACCCTCTTGAAATGTACCTGATTTAGTCTCCGACTCAGATCTAGTCTGAGGCGGCTGCTCAGCCTTGGCCACTGAACACTCCTTGCTAAGGCTGGCTGTTTAGTGACAACAAAATGGGCATAAGAGACATTACCACATGAACATGCAATGCTGTGTATACACACACAAATCCACACACACGCACACACAAACCCTCACATGGTTGCTGCTTATCATAACAATGAGCACAAATGTCTTCATAGCACTAATCAGCTCTAATGTTCTTGAAGGGCATTCAGCAGGAGCTTCATGGGAGAGAGGCAGGAGAGCCAGTCAAGCATCAGCAACAATGCAAACCTGTACAGTTACCATGCACCGCAAACCAGCACTGCAATCTACCAGCCTCGTTACTCACAGCTGGCCTTAGTTGCTGGTGCCACAGTGCCCAGCCTCTCTCCCCTTGAAACAGGAGGAGGGTGTCGTTTGGGGTGCTGGGTTTCAGAGGGGAAGGGAGTAGGGTTTGGGGAGAGGTGGCTCTGCTCAGGTCTTCCTGTCTCTTGATTCTCCTCTGGATTGGCTGCCTCAAACTCAGCTGGCACTGGGACACAGGGCAGAGTCACACACTCACACAAGACACTACACACCATTGGGAGCAGGAGCATCTCTGGAACATCAGGAAGTGAATAGAAATAATGGGAAGAGACTGAGAGGGATGGAACGGCTGCCTCAGAATTAGGCTGGGGTGTCAATACCTATAGACAGGCCAAGAGATGAAAGCAGACAGCAAAGACAACGTGAAGACCATCCATTTAAGATGCAAAAAAAAGTGATTTCTACCTGGTGGAAGCTCGGGCCGCTTTGGCTTAATTATAACTCTTGCTCCTCCTCCAAAGACAGCAGCCCACATGCGGTTGTTGAGAGGATGTGCAGCGAGGCGGAAGAGTTCATTGCTGTTGTGAGTGCCCAAGCCGTGGATGAGCAGCGAAAGGTAAACCGCCACCACTGCCTCGCACAGCAGAACGCTGAGCTTGGGTTGGTCCTCCTCCCTTGCAGACGTCAATAGAGAGATCAGGGACGACACACCTGCAGGAAGGGGACGCCATGATTTATGAAAAATCATTTCAATACTCCTAGACATAAACACAGGCTAGGCAAAATGAAGAGCTCATTTATAAAACATTAGCGCGACAGTCGGAACAGTCTCAGTTTTTCTTTTTCTTTCCTAGAGGCCATGAAACTCTTATTATAGAACACCATCTGCTTCTCCGCATAAACACAGTCTGCTTTGCTCTTCCCCCTCCCTCTGCTGTTTATATTCCTTTGATGCTTTCATATAAAATACTTCCTCATCCAACTCACCGTGTGAAGAGTCTGGACAATCCTTACCTTCAGACATCATTCAGTCAAATTACTTTCATATATTGATAATGAGCCAAGGTATTTCCATCTGTTTTGTTCCATAAGGATCTAACACTACTAAATAATGCCAGAGATTAGAGAGGCCTGATTACCTGGCCACTGTGCAGGCGCAGAATTTGGAGTAACGTGTTCCTCAATGCTTTCTGTGCGAAGTCTCTTTCTTTCACTCAGCAACAGCCCCTGGTACACCATTCCTGTAAACTGGTTGGCTTCTGTCTGACTGCTGAGAGGCCATAAAACAGCACAAAGCATTGATTGTCACCATGCAGTTGGGTTTAAATAGCGTCTTATGAAACCTGCTGGAACTTTTGTTACCTGTAACTGTGACTGTCACACAGGGCTTGGTAGACACAAGCAGACAAAGACGCCGCCAGCGTGTGAAGCGCATTAACCTGAGGATAGAAGGATAATTATTTCACCATTAACATGAACAGCAAATACCTGGCAAAGGCTGCATAAGTCGTCATCAATCTCCTGGAAGTCATTTTCTCCAAAAGACATTTGTGACAGAACACTGGGCTGTTGGAAGTTGGAGCAAAGATGATTTAATAAGAAGTTCACAACTTGTACAACGATTTAATGATGAGTAACATTTGGTAGTGATGGAGCCAAATGTTTTCCAATCTGCAATCAAATTTCTGCCATAAAACATGAAAAGTGATAAAGAGAACAACCCACAGCTCCCTTAGTGTGTTAAGTAATAAATTCCACCTACACAATGAGAAACTTGAGAAAACAGCCCTGTTCAGCACAAAGTGTTTCTGTTGATTTGTATAATGCAGTAAAGCCCCCCCGCCTCCCCAGAGGACATAAAACAAAATATCCCCAAATTCCTGTCTGAATCCTGACCCGATCATCAATGATGTCCGGATGTGGCGGGGCCTCCAACATGGTGATGGTGTAGAGGATGTCGTGGATGTGGTTGCTGAGGTGGAGGACAGGATTGGCTATGACCGTCTTGGTGGTGGCGATACATGCAGACAGCAGAGGAAGAGTTGTAGGCAGAGGCAGAGGAGACTGCAGTTGCTTCACCGTGGTCTCCTACAGAGTTAACATAGAAGGCGGGGAAAATCAGGGCAAACATGACAACAGCAAATAATCTGCTTGTAGAAAAAACATACCTGCTGACTCTCTTGGAGAAGGAAGAGGAGCTCCATGCGAACAGAGGTGACCCCGCCTCCCTTGGCTCCATGAAGGCTGCAGTAGGACAGGAAGACCCTAAGCAGTGCCTGGTTCTTCCTTAGCCATGCCTTGCGCCTCTCAGAATGTTGCTGCTTGGCTTGGAGGCGGCGTCGCTCCATCTGGTGACGCTCATAAGCCCCAGCCTCCATATTCTCCAGCGCCTCGTCCGAAATGTCCACAGATGCTGTACGATCTCTCTCAACCTCTGGTCCTTCTTCTTTCCTCTCAACCTGTGTTTTTTTTTTTCACCCAGCATATACAGTGAATAACCACTAATCAGAAAGGAACCTTCCCAAATCTCTTTGTCTAAATCAAATTTCGTGGAGCTCACCTTGTAGTTACAGATTGTATGCATTGCTGCGATCTCCTTCTCCAACCAACTGTAGAGCTGAAAACGTAGCTTCCCTCCATCTACCTCGAAGCCTGTAGCTAGCGTTCGCAGCTCAGTCATCAATATCTTCAGACAGGCACGAAACTTCAGCTGCTCTGCAATCACATCCACCTCGGAATCGCCCTAAAAACAGAGTTGAAAGTAGAGGTCGACTTTGAAAGCTATAATATAAGTTATCTTACAAACTGTAAAAATGTAACCTTCTAATGCTGGAGCAGTGGATTTATAGTGTTTCAAAAGTGCAATCAGCGGAATGTGGACTGAACTTTATGGTTATTATTAGGGCTGCAACCAACAATTATTTTGCGAATTGATTATTCTGTCGATTATTGTTTCGATTAATAACCGTATAGCGAAAGGTTCCTTAAAGATGATTCTTTTACAAAATTAAACCAGGGGGAACTAAATCTTTTCCACTTGAGGAGTTCTGGTTAGACCCTATTGACAGATAAAAAATGTTTTTAAACCTTAAATACCAAAATGTGTATACATTTTTACAGTTTTGATATAACTACTGCTCCAAAAGAGTTCCTCTGTCAAATAAAAGCATATTTTATAGTCTCTTTACTCCAATTAACAGTTTTATTTCAATAATTGATTAATCCGATTCATTGTTTCAGCCCTAATTACTATATATATAAAAAAAAACCTCTGTTAATAGTCTGAAAGTTCAGTAAAACCAACTGACTAAGATAAAGTGGATGTCTGTTGACCGGGGTAAAGTACTGAAACATAGACTGTGCCTTTTCTCAGCCAATTAGAAGTAACCTTGAACCTGTCTGTGCTGGAAGCTGAGTGGGGAGGGTGAAATATAGATACATGCCCTTCCAGGTGTTTAAGACTCCCTAATGCCGTGAACAGAAGAGACAGCTGCTTTGAAATGTTTTTTATCTGACTAGTGAAAAATGAATGTCTTTAATGAACTCAAAGTTGTTTCTCTTGAAATGACCCAATGTTCGTGTGTGAGAATTCTCTTTATATACAGGGGTGGGCAAACACCCGGTAGAGCCGCACTAACAGTTAAAGTGTGAGTGTTCTTCTCTGCAGAGTAAAATAAAACAATTTCTTCCTTGCATATCAACTCTCATTGCTCATTATACTTCACAGACCTCTGATGTCAGCACTTGGATCTGAAACTGACATTCAGCTCCAATTAAGAAAGACTGAGAGATTTGTTAACTGCAAACAGGCTAGATGCTATTTGCAATCCAAGGTAATATCAACAATTTTTTCTACATTTTGAAATTCCAAACCGGCATCAACATGGTAACAGAGGAGGTTATGTAATTTGATGAAACAAACAAATAAACAGTTTTTAATGGAGCAATGAAAGTAGATAATGTTCTGTGTAAACACTTTAAGTTTTACAATCCTGGTTACTTTTGCTCCCCCAGAGTACAGTAAAAGATTAATCCTGAATAATAGGACTGATAAAATCAGAGATTGCATTAAAGCCCGCTATTTGATCTGAAAGAAAAATAAAAAGGAATTTTCCTGTTTTCAATACGTGATACCTGTGAGTCTCCTTTTTGTTGTTTGTGGTCATCACTCTTTGAGCCTTTGTCCTCAGTCTCTGGTTTCTTCATGGTTAAACCGTCTTCATCTTCATCTTCTTCATCGTCCTTGTCATCCCCCCAGTCGAGCTTCAGGTCATCTTCTTCTACCTTGACAAGGGGCTGGCTCCAGTCCAGACTACCAACGCTATCGTTTACTCCCCAGGCCGGAGCCGGCGCTGCAGAGGAGCCCCAGTCCACAGCTCCTTGGGTGCCATTTTCCAAAGGCTGGCTGGCGTTAATGTTTGCTTTGGAAGAAGCTTTGCTGAGAGATGAGGAGCCAGATTTCTTTACCTTGGGAATCTTAGACAGCACCTCTAGAGCCAAAACTGGACAACCCACCTATAGAGAAAAAAAAAGATCAAAGGGTGTTTATGATTTGAAGCTGACTTTGTAACAATATTACAACAAATCAAAAACAAAAGGAGCTAATAGAGCAAAATTAGCTGCTTCTAATTGTAAAATATATTTAACTTTACATCAATGATCTAAAGAAGGCCTATACTGGACAGATCTAGGTCCTGAACTCACCTTAAAGTGGGCATTGGCAGTAGTGAAGAACAATTTGCGCTCAATAAGGTTGATCTCATCTGCAGTGCTTTTCTCAGCAGTTAGACCCACGGTAGTGGCTGTGGCCTCTGGACTTGCAAAGTGCCGACGGATGATCAAAGGATGCGTCCTTAAGTAGTTATAGAAACTAAACACCACAGGGTTGCAAGATTTCACCATCACATCTTACGCACCAGAGATAAAGAAAGGGAGATGAAAAATGAGCATAACAAGTATCAGAAACAATGAGCAAAAGCAAACTGGTCAAAGTTAGTCTTTAGATTTGCTGCTTACCCGGATTCTCATCTTCTTTGGGGTTTCTCTCTAAGAGAGTATCAAGGGCTCGGGTGTAATCTTTCATAATCCAGTAGGCTATGCTACGAAGGAAGGGGTCTGGATGCAGTCTGGAGCAGTGATAACCGCTCCCGTCTCTGTTACAGCCCAGAACCTTCTCGTAAAGGAGGCCTTGGCAGGTGGACGAATTTTCAAAGTCAGCCTCATACAGCCTGGCTACTATCATGGCTAACTGGAGGTCTTCCATCTTTTCCATCAACACCTGCAAGTCATAAATAAGCGTGGTTAACTTCCGGGTATATAAGCTGGGTGGTTTTAGAACATAAAATGATGTTATACGACAGAGTGAATGACCGTCAACCAGGAAAAGGGGTTAAAGTTCAGGTTTATAAACTGGCATGCTGTCATGAATCCACAAAGGGCTTAATTTGGGGGTTCTTACAGGATTTCCACTTGATAATAAAATACAAATCATTTACCACTTTATAAAATGTTCAGTTTTTTTGTGAAGTTCTCTTGATTTCACAAAAAGGGCAAAAGAACATCCATCCAAAGTGTCTTTATGGTTTAGTGACCTGACACAATTTAATTCAGTTAGAGAAAATAAAATATACTCTCAGGGGGTCCAGGGACAAATTCTTCTCTGGGATCCGATGTTGATGAATTTTTGTAAACTTAAAACGGTGCCCAATAGGTGATCTTTTAGCAATCATCTTGCATTTGTATGTGTGATCGTTATAGAATCCATGTGAACCATGTCTTGTTTAGTGCACAGCTTCAAAGTATTTATTTTTTAAAGTTCTTATTTGTTTTTGTTTAACCTTCAATTATTTACTCTTGCTGGATTGGTGTCAAACATGTTCTTGGGATGGGGCGTTAAAAAACGAGTATTATGTCTCTTGTATTTGATACAATGTAATGTGTTACTGATGCTCAATGAAAATAACATAAAAAAACAGGTAAAAAAAAACAAAAAAAAAACAATGTGGAATTGATATAGCCACGAAATGTAAAAGAAAATGCTCATTTTTGTTTGAAATGCGTAAAGTTAATCAATTTTAATGATCAAAATGGACAAAAATATAAAGCGATTCCAGAACTTTTATTCTAGCTGGGCTAAAAAAAAATAATTTTTGGTTATTATATAATGAATAAGAAAGGTAATCTGAAAACTCAGCTGAAATTATTGTTTGCTCTTATCGAACGTTAGAAAATAACAGAAATAAATTGTGTTTTTTCTGCACTTATAAAGACAGCACAATAACCTGTTGAGTTTGTTGATGTTAAATCCCCGAAAAACAGTCAGTGTGCGCTGACCTAAACATGCCACACCGATTTTGTTTTAATTGAAAACTTAAATTTACCTCTAAATAACTGAATTGTACCTTAAGTTGATTACATGTGTCTATCGTGTGATAGACAAATTTCTTTGAATGACATAATGAATGTCAGAAATGTTATAATAACACTGGATCCGAACAAAAAATCTTGATTGAACTGAAATAAAAAAAAACCTTATCCTAAATTTATCTTTGTTGTGAATCTATGATGACAAATACAACTTAAAAAGAAATTAAAGTTTAGTCAACAAAAAACTAAAATGTGAATTTATCAATATATAAGGTACTTCTTCTTTCCTCTATACCGTGAGTTAGAAAGATATAGAGATCAAAGTTAGGCTTCTGTTGTTTTTTGTGCATATTTTGGCTATGTAACCAAAAAACCTGAGCAAAAGAATATGCAAGAATATTATGCATTTCAACAGTTTGAACTGGTTACATAAAGGCTGAAACATATATCACTATTATCCTTCAGCAGGTTTAAATTTCATATAAACTTTCATTTTTACTGCCACTGTGAGGGAAATAAAAACAGGGACCAGGAGAAGCAATAAGGTGTGTATCATGTGTGAAGATCAGGAAGTGTGTTTGTGTGTGTTCACACCTCTATTGCATCTTTAAGGGAGCCAGCTAATAGGAAAAAGGCAGCAGACTGTTCAAAGCGCTGCTTTCCCAGCAGGGAGAAAGCGTTTTTGAGAGCTGCCTTTCGCCAGCGGTCCTCTGTGAAGTTGTTTTTGAAGAACTGAGTCATCTTCTCCTCATGCTGAGACCTGAGAGATGACAATTAGGTCGTTCCGTATCGCACTGAGGTTTAAAAATATACTGGAAACAAACAGTCTACAACATGTAGACTAACAGTGTATATCTTCTGACACCATCCTACCTGAAGAGACCCCAGAGAACAGCTTTTTTCTTCATGGCCAAGTAGAACAGGGCAGCATCTAGCGGGTCGTTGTTCCTCTGGAATGCTGCTTTACCCAGCTGATTTTACACAAAACCGTTCAGTTACCTCATTTATCGGTAAAATATTACTTTAAATTGATACTTCATGTAAGCTAATATTTAGATGTGCAAAGGTTGATAGTCTTAATAGATGAACTGTCCAAAGAATAAATCAAATCAGTGTATATTTTGCTACCTTCTCCACCATCTTCCTCAGAGTGTTGATGTTGCGTATCCACCATCCCACGCCGACGGCTCTCAGCTCAGACCACTGAGGGTCGCCTCTCTGCATGGCAGGAATCATGTTCAGCAGCTCCTCCTCAGCCTCTGAGTGGAAGGCCCATGCAAAGTGGCAAGTGGAAAGGCCTGACATGGACATAGATCAAGGGAGTCAGCAGGGAAGCATGACCGCCTTTGAATTGAGTTTGGACAAAATGAGATTTAATAAAAAATGATCTGATCTACCAAAGTGCCTTGAAATAAAATTTGTTGTGAATAGATGCTAAAAATATTACTGAAAGGTCAATTTACCAGTAATTCAATACATACTATAGGTGAAACTTGTATATCAATTTATGCACAGGATGGACAACGTTTACAGCTAATCAAAACCCAACATTACCTTTAATGTGATTTGAATATGACACTGGAGCAATAAATAAAGAAACATTACAGTACAGAAACATTTTTGCTGAAAAAATAATGAGATGCTTTAATTATGATATCAGCACATGTCTGGAAAGTTAAGTGGAAGGAAAAATAGATAGCCATAACTCTGAGAGGACTGTAAACCAAAGTCCATTCAAGGGTTCCAGGGATTCATGATGTGTGGATGTGGTCTCGGAAGCCATCATATATACACATTCATACTGTCCTACTCTGTTACTTCTGTTATACCTCTCCTTAAAAATAATACCATGACAAACTAATTGATCCTGAAACTGTTTCTTAGATCTCTATGGTACTCCTGTACTCTGCAGTAATATTGTGCATTTTCTTTTGAAAATCGATACCCTAAAGACATGAGGACAACAACAAAAGGCACAGAATCCAAGTTTATTAAGATCCAAAGTGAAGTTTCTAGAATCAGAGATGACCTGAGAAGCAGTGTGCTCTGCTGGTGTTGGTCCACCATATCTTAACAAGTCTAACGTGAACCAGGAAATTTAGATTTCTTTCTGCCGTCCTCTGTTTACAAGGTTTAAGGAGAACTGATTTGAACTGGAACTTTCCAAAAGTGCCCTGAAATCCCTGGGCTTCACATCCCATTAAAGCTATCTGCAGAGAATCTAAGTGATATTAATCTATGACTAAGATAAGAGCAGAATATTCAGATTACATAAAGGCTTTTAATAAACCAACCTTTCTTTCTTTAACACCTGAGCAGAGACACAGGCTGATTGCATCACACTGCATCCAACACATTGTTATCATTTGACTGATGTAGCGTTATAATTTTCTGGTAAAATGAATTCCTAGTTTTAATCAGCTGTAAAGAGAAAAATTACCAACACTTCAAATAAATCACTGCATAAAACGATCCACATCTAACAGAGTTTTACTTTTTGAACCTGAACTGAGTGATGACTGAAGCTTCTAAGCTCTGATTCAATGCTAGGAAGGAAGAAAACTGAGTGGAAATGTAGATGAAGGCAGAAACACCATAATGGGGCAGAGAGAACACTGGAGCTTGACTTCTAACATGGGCTTCTTATAAAAATATTAATAGATTTTACTAGAAAGTAGTGAAACTAATTTCTTTCTAAAATGAATGAGACCCACATTTATTACATGACACTGACTCATATCCACCTAATGTACCTAGATATGGGAATTACTGACTTTCCACATAGGTAATATAGATTTTACAAAGCAGAAGCTGCTGCAGATTTGAGACAAGAAAACATGTAGGTAGCTTGTTGCTTTGTTAATGATATGTGGATAATATTACACTTCTAAATTTTTCTAAAATTATGAAAACATCATTAAAGGCAGTTCACCTTACAGCCTTAAATGGTAAAATAACAATCTTTCCTTTTTTTTTTTTTTTACCTTGGTGAAGCAGCTGCATACGATACAGTGGAGGCAAAGAAGTGAGCAGGCAGGTATGGAGACGCATGGCGAGCAGGTACCTCAGTCCACACTCATCAAGAGCCTCTCCCCCTAAACAAACAATGGGCAGATTTTTAATTTAGGGATTCAATTCAATGCCAACTAAAAATACCTACAGAAAAAAGGGCCTTCTGTAATATTTCACTTCATACAATCCTGTCAGAGAATATATCTCTTGACCCTGAACCATCTCCTGTGATTACTCTGCCCTGGAACAACCTGCTTATGTCTTGCTCTCAAAAGACTAAATAAATAAGATGGTAAATTGAAGAGCAAACAGACAACGATAATGAAAAAGTACAATTTTTGTTTTTGTAAGGAAAGATTTGATGGCTGGAGATTAACTACAAGCTGGAACACACAATCAAAAGAAAAGGCATGTTTTTCGCACACGTTTATAGCCTTTAGTCAGCTTTTAAAGTATTATCTCTTAAAAAAAAGGTAAACAAACACAGAGATTGCACACATGGGCAGAGCCAAAAGACCAAAGATTGCTTAAATATAATAATTTTTACTAAACTATATTATACTTCATATGAAGACGTGTAAAGATTGCCTCAAACCTGTCAAAGAAAAATGACTGCTGCTGGTCAATAGGCTACACTGTATAAAATGAGGGGAGTTAGAGGATTCATGAATGTTAAAGAGTTTAAATGAACACTAAACAAGAGAATAGTTTGGATTAAGAAAAAGAAAAGAAATGCTTTTTCATGAATCCTCAATCTGAACGCTGAAATGTTTTATTGTTGTGGTTCATTTATTTGTCCATTTCTTTCAGAGTAAAAAATCATCTAAAGTTCAATATTCCCAAAAAGAAAATAACATAAGTGATTGTCTGACTTTATAGTTTAAAAGTGCAAATTAAAGAGAGAAGACTTTCCTACTTTCAATCTGAGAAAGTTTTTTTAAATGAGGTCAGACGAAGTGTGAAAATTACTATAGAAAGTTACTTAAGACAAAACAGTATTTTCTATAGAATGATGTGAACCATTCACATTTGAAACAGAAACTATAATATTAAGAAAATTTTAGAGCTATTATTCAGCCAGAGACTTGTTTGAAGTTAGTTAAGATAATAGCTAATATAACCTGTTAAAAACAGATCCAAATCTAAGATCTATGATCATTTTCTTATCTACTTTGAACTAGTAAAGTTTAGGAAAGCAACAGTACTCTCTAAAGGGATGTTGCCTCTGCTTATGGGGGAGGAGGGAGAAAATATATCCTAAATTGTTCTAAATAAGAAGTTCTAAAGGATAAATTGTAATCAACTAAAATTGGCTAAAATTAGCAGATCAGAGCTACAAAAGAGCTGACGATCAAGTAGTTAAAACAGAACTCTGATTGGTCCATCTATATTAAATAAAAAATTATCACATTTGTAATCTGATCCTAAATCTGAATCAGCAAATCTAATATACATGTAGGCACCAGGGATGAGCTAAAATTACTGTGGATGGTTGACTTTCAGGATGTCTTTGGTAAACCCAGATACTCAACTCAATTTACTTAGAACTATTCCCATTTTAAATTAGGTAGGTGAGTCTCAAATAAAACCTTAGAGCCACATTTCCGCTGTGGTTACATCTTGTTTAAAATCTGACAGTAAATCTCAACCTATAGGTAAGACTTACTCCCCATATGCATAATAAATGCTATAAAAGAATATCTGCTGTTCGGTTGATGGTGTTAGAATGACTATCAGCTGCCTTTTTGTTCTGTCATCCTTCTGCTTTTAGAAAATAGATGCAGTGTTCAAAGGAGAACAAACAAAGGCGTTCCTGTCACACAAGGGTTACTGTGGAGGTGCAAAACGAGATGAAGTAGCGGATACAGCAGGACAGACAGAAAGCCGATATGACCTGTGTACTGTTGATCATTGGAGCCTGTAACTTCTGCACTTGTTGTTGCAATGGTATCTGCCAAGGCCACCAAGAACATCTGCTCCAGCCGGGTCAGTCCTGGGAGGCTGGAATGCATGAGGTGACTGGACAATACCTGGAACCAAAGATGAAGAAAAATTTGCTTATGAGAAGAGAAGGAAACTGTTGCTCAGGTTTAGTTTCTGCCTGTATTCAACCCAAACAGAAATGCAATTATGAGACAATAAAAAAAAAATGCAGGATCACCACTTACTGGTTGAAATGGGCTTAAGCCTCTTCATTACTATCATATTTGCTCTGCTTTTAGTAAGATTAACACATCCACACACAAGGTGCCATTTCTCTTTGAAATAGAGTAAGAATACCTGAGCGTGCTCTGGTCCGAAATATGAGGGTCCGTACTGAGAAAGGTTGATAACCCGAGATTTCCTCTCTGGCTTATCAGCAGCAAAGTTCACAAAGTCGTCTGTAGTAACTGTTGGCACCTGCATCAACAGACAGGAAACACTTTCTATCTGAAGATCCAATTTCCCCCGTTATGACTAGATCATTCTGGTAGCTCGTCTTACCTGGAAGAGATCAGCATACTGGTCTTCTGTGGATTTCTGAGCTGCATCACCATCAACAACCTTTGTTGTTTTGACGCTTTCCTCGGCTCCCTTAAATGAGGTGTCCAGGTCAGCCAACATCAAGGCGTAGAGGGGCAAAGGAGGAATGGAGTTGATCTCTGTGTAATCCCTTCCTCCATCTCGGCCTGCCACTATGGTGTCCTTTGCTGTGCTTCCGGTCACGCTGATTGTTCGAGAGAGGTGCCTCCTGGATCCGCCTTCACCTGCCTCCACATCCCTGACCACAGCAACTTCTCCAGCTATACACTTTACGAGATGTGCAAGTATGGCCTGAAAGAATACAGACATCAGGTTTATATTTTTAAAAAGTAGCTATTGCTAAATGTTTGTTTCCAAGCAGGGGATGGTCCCACCTTTGCCCGCCGTACTTTGCCCAGGTCCATGAGCTCCAGCAGCTGGGTCGGGTGGTATTGTGGCAGAGTGGGAGAGAGAGAGTGAGCTGCCTCAAACAGTCCTCCCTCCTGCAGACCTGCAGGGGCACGCAGAGCTTCATCCACTCCAGTGCTCCCTTCAAAAACACTCTTGGACCTGGCTCTCCCTTCAAAGACAGAGGAGGTAACTGCTGTCTGACCTCCAGCAATGTCTGCAGATGACAGATTGCCCTCTTCTCCTTCACCAGGCTTCTTGTCCTGGTGCCACTGTGCGTACACATGCATTTCACAGTCCATACCCACCACCAGGATGCCATCCCTCACCCAGGATAAGGACACTGGCAGCGAAGGTGTACCGTCTACGGAGGAAAGGAGGTCAATGGATCGAAGCAGAATCCAGCGTGAACGGATCCCTTGTTTGATACTGCCACCTAGTGGGAGGGTAATCACAGCCACCCCCTCTTTGCTGCTAGTCTGCTCATTCACCATGCCGGAAATGCGGCCGTACATTAGGATGTTAGAGCCGACCCCTACTGTGAGAATGTGGGACCCATCCTCCTTAGATAGCCAGTCCAGGTGGATGAAGTGCTTAATATTGGGCGAGCTATGGTCTCTGCTCATGTACAAATCAGTCCTGAAGATTGATAAGTAATAAAACACATTAAGATAACAGATTTTAAAACATGAAAAATATAAATGTGTGGCTCCATTTTTACCTGCTGTAGACAAAAAGGTTGGAGTCCACACTGACTCTAGGATCCAGCGTTGTTGAGGGTCTGACATAGTCGTCAAGATGGACAGTTTGCTCTAAAACCCACTCAGAGCCGCCAGTAGACTCACACTCATAAATGGAAACGTGCATAGAGAAGTCTTCCACAGAGCTATGAAGCTGAGGAAAAAAGGAGCATTTTGTCACAACCTTTAAAAGAATCAAAGTCCTGCAGATCTTTATTCTTTAACGAAAACTAGGAAGAGGTGTCTACTCATCATGGCATGTTGTTGTGAAGAGAATTGGAACCTGTGTTGCATTGGAAACTTTCATTGCAGTGAATAAGAAGATGAATAATATCCTCTAACCTAGTTCCTAGTTGCCTCTATTTTTTTCTATGAGCAGTTAAGCATGTTTACCACAGTAAGAGGCTTCAATAGAAAACATTTCAGATTCTAATAAAAGACAGAATTTTAATTTAGTACCAGTCCTTGTCGTGGTTGTTTGAAAGCCACAGCTAGCCTGCCGATGTAGGAGCAGGAAACAGCCACCGGCCGTCCTGACACAGACACTGCACTGTTGTTGTCCTCCTCCTCGTTCATGAGTACCCAGGGTTCCCAGCAATACACCCGGTTGTCCATGCCATGGCCTTCGTCGCCCTCCACAGCGCAGCGCCAGAAGCGCACATGAGAATCTGAGCAGGTTGTAACAATCAGGTACGGAGCCAGACACACAGGGTAGATGGAGGAGGAGCTCAGATGACCTGGAAGAAAGAGAAAAAAGATCATCTAAAGTTCATTGCAGTGTTCAAAAACAATCTGAATTCCCCCAAAATGTATTCAAGGCCATAAAAAACAAAATGTTTTAGAATTATCGGTAGAAGGAAAAACATTAGTAAAGGTCATAAAGTAAAGGTCTGATAAATTTTCGTTTAAGCTTGTTGCTACCCAGGCAAATATAATACATTATATTGTCCTCTTAATATAAAACGGATCAAAATTCATTCGGCCAACCTGCAGACGGTGTTGCCCTGGTAACTTCCACCCCATGGGGTAAATCTAAGCGCTTGCTGTACACTAGCTTGGAATTGAGTATAAGTTTGCTGGCTGATTGCAAGTTGGCTGAAGAAGCTGATCGTGGCAGGGGTCTGATTGGAGAGGTCTCAGGGGACGAGTCAGCATTCATGACTTGATTGGGAACCATGAGCTGGCTCTGGAAACTAAACTGCTGGCTGGGCTCGTCTGAAAAACAAACAAAAAAAATCAGTAAGAGGAATTCTGTGTTATATGTGTTCGTATTAATATCATGAAAGCAATCTTGATTTCTATGATTTGGCGTGAAGCTGGATGCATCCTGAACCTACCGACACAGGCCTGCACAGACTGGAGATGCAGGTGCCACATCTGCAGGACTGAGTTCCCATTTAGATCCTTCTCTATTACGACCAAGAAGAACTTCTCAGAAAATGGAGCATGTTGGTAATCTGCACAGAATGAAAAAAAATATATACATAAAATCCACCTTTACTAAATGGAACAGGGAAAAGAATGAAAACTGTCACAAGAGCAATTTTCCAACTACCTTCTCCAGTGGAAAAAGCCGGTGTGTACGCCTCTGATTCCTTCGGAGGTTTGTAACCAAGAATGAAATCCTCTTGGAAGACATGCAGCAGCTGAGTATTGGAGCCACACTAGAAGCATACAGACATCAAACAGATGATTTGGGGCTTAAGGATTTTTAACACGGACCTGCTGCTGTTCACCACTGAGCTGAGTTTGGTGCAAAAACAGAGCCGCTAACCTGGTTTGTAATGACATCCAGCTCAATGATGCATCCAGGTCTGGCAGTGGACTGCTGACTGACGATGTTGAACACCTCACCCACCAGTTTCTGAAGAGAAATACACACGAACACTTAATAATAACCTTTAAACACTCCTTATATTCCTTCATAAAGTAAATTCAGACTGAAGACATTTAAGAATATAAAATATGTCCTAAAATGGTAATTGATGTAACCATTTTATTTGATTTATTTCTGTATCTTTATTAGGGCTGAAACAATTAATGGGATTAATTGCCTTTAGCTGACAGTGCAACCCACTTACAACAGTTAGTATATCAAAACTTAAAAAAAAATACATTAAGATTTTGCATTTTAGACAAAAAAAACCTTTTCGTCTGTCAATATCCTCTATCCAGAACTCAGTGGAAAAGTTTTAGATTCACCTGCTTTAATTTTGTAAAAAAAAATCTTCTTTAAGGAACCTTTGTCTATCCGATTATTAATTGAAAAAATAATCGAAAGATTAACCGATTTGCAAAATAATGATTAGTTGCAGCCCTAATCTTTATAATCTCAGCAGTATTTAAGGGAACCAACCATAAAAATGCCGACTATATCTTTTCCATCGAGTTCCTTCTTTTTTATCATAAGAAACACAAAAATCCAGATAGCCTAGCTTCACAGAAAAAGAGATTTAAAGTCCATATTTTGATCGCTAACATATTTTAAAGTGACAGCATCACAGGCTTTCACTCACAGATGTTTCAGGGTCTGACAGCTCATCAAGTAGTTTCCTGGCATCCACAACAGCTTGATAGAGACGCAGGTTTTTCCCATCTGATGCCACAAAGCAGGCACTGGCACTGTTACAGTAGGTTCCTGACAGTCATAAAACAGGTTGTAGTTCAATAATGTTAGCCTCAGATTCAAAGGAACATACAATTCATAAGAAGACTTCAATAATATAAACAGTCTGATCATTTGTTTCTCTATTGTTAAGAGAAACACAAAGTCAGTGGATCCAAGTGTGAAGCATTGCACTCATGGCTTTCAGGCTCTCTCATAAAAGCATGTTTAGAACCAGCGAGCAGTAATGAGATGTGCCAAATACAATTAGCCAATTAGGAGCAAATTGGAGATGCAAACTGGTATGTGTTTGAAAGAATCTGCCTCAAACAGCTGAACTTTAGATGGCTCGAATGTCTTGATATCTTGTGTAAACGTGATGCTATTTCTGTAATGCATATTATTATAAAAGCATAATTTAGATTATCAAGGGCAAATTGAATGCTTCTGAAAAAGTAATTTTTTATGCCATTTATTACATGACATATTCTATGATTCCCCATTATAAAGATTCAATGTACTTGATAAGGTTATAATTATTTAACCAATCAGCCCTGCAAACATCATATGAGGAAGAATCCTAGACTAGAGGTAGATTATTGACTGTTGAATGTGAGATGTATCATTGGTTTTTTTTCCCCCACTAGATGCCATTAAATTAGTAGCATAACATGAAAATCCAAAGCAGTTTGCTCATATTACTATGTTAGCAGAAGCTGCTGCTGCAGGGGTCAGGTTGTAAATGTAAACATTTTTTTTTTAGCCACTATTACCAAGTGCTCCCAAGTAGTGCTGTTTATAAAAGCTGACAAGTCAAAATTAGCCTATTTCAGAACAAGCGACCCATTTCAAAAACAGTGGTAAAAAGCAATTTTAAAGGACGCTGTATTTTGCAGAAACATGAGTGAGATTCAATCAGGAAACTGAGAGCCATAAGGGAAATGTCCAATTTATGGTTGGGATCTGCATTATATAAAGATATAATAATAATTGAATGGACAACTTTAACATAAGGATGTTAAGTTAAAACATGGCAAGATATTTACACTCCTTCCTAATCCATTTACAACATAATATCAATCAGTACTAAGCAAACAAAAATTGCCTTCCAAACAGTCCTTTGTGATATTAGTACTTAGCAAATGACGATATAGTTGTATGTAATGTGCAGTGGTAGTGTGAATCACTTACCAAGCACAGTGCTGGGTATCAGCGTAGGCAGCCATGCTACATTGCTAAAGGCAGACGTGTGTAGAGAGTTGATTCGGGCCAGTTCAGACACCCCTCCAGTGCAGGACAGGGGTCCGATATGATCCACTCTCCACAAAATCAGCTCACTATAAATGGCGTTTGGGTCGTGGAATGTCCTTGTAGCTGCATTACGAAGCTGCTTCCTGTCAAACGTAAAGAAAAAAACAAATCTGAAATGGTAACGTGCTACAGTATACTAGATCAGAGGTTTTAACAAACAGCTTCAGTCCGGTTTTCTCTATATTATTGTTATTATTTTTAAGACAAATTTGCAAACAGAGACTTAAGATGTGTTTATTTTTCACTGGTAGTAGATTACCTTCCAGGTTCTGCCTGAATGCGGCCTTCAAACTAAACAAAAAAAGGATCTTGATTTCACATAATGCAGATCCCTCCCCTGACTGCAGGGTGGCTTTTTTGGCTGTTTTTTTGGCAACTGGAGTGACAGCATTGATTAGCACTGCAGTACAGTCTACGTGCTGGAAGCAAAGCAGCAGTAAACAACACTGTACTGATCTAGAAGGACATTGAAATGAATGAGATTGGTTCTTCTGGGGGCGTTTCTCTCATTATATAAGACAACACTGACATCCAGCAGAAACATTTTATGCCCAGATCTGTATCACAATGATTAATATTCTATTTTCCCTCCCAGTCTGGCTGATAACAACTCCTTTATTCATGTTATTACTATTTTTGTACCTGGGAAGTCCTTTTGGTGGAGGAAAGGACAGGGGCTGTTCCCCTTCCAAACTGCTGGGGGCTGAGGGAGGGGTGAGCAAGGCGTTGTGGTGGGAGGAGGTGAGCAGGAGTGGCAGCACTGTGTGGCACGCCTGGTCATTCAAGTGGAAACGGTGACCGCAGTACCGAATCTTGTGAGATACAGTCAGGACGTTGGAGAAGCCAGAACGGTCGGCAAATGTCACTGCCCACTGTAGTTAGGGAGAAAGAGAAAATACTTGTAAGGAAAAGAATAAATTACAAATCTCTATTACAGAATTTTAGAAACAATCCAGATATAGAATTCAATAATCGTGTGAAAAGCAAAACAGTGATTCCCAGCCTTGCACCTGGTTGAGAGATCCATCGACATGCTTGGAGACCATCATGACTGCAGGGCTAATGCCAGGACGAAGTTTTGGTGAGGGGGAGACGGCGGTGGAGCCCAGACCGGTGCATATTGAAGCTGAGCGGGACATCCGCTGAACCATTCTTCCCTGCTCACCTGTCCCAGCACTCTCACCCTCAGTCAGAGTGCAGGCATACATCAAGATGTTTTTACTAAGGGAGTTAGCGTCACCTGTGGGAAATGCTACTGGGATGCGTGAGGAGAAGGAGACCTGGTGAAGATTGGAAAAAAAATTAATAGTGACATTCTGGATCTTTTCAGCTCCAAAGACACCCAAGGTAGAAATTAAATCCTTATTCCTGGGGTTTATCTGAGCCTTACATACTGGTATTTAAAGAAGCTAGCCAGATCAAGCTCACTTTGGATATAGGTTTTTGCACCTGTAGAGCTGGCAATCTCTTGTTTTCCACTTAATCGGGTCTTTTAAGATTCACACTGTCATGATCGCAGCCCTGATAGCTGATTTAATTACTCACTTCACTCACCTGCCGAACCCTCCCCGCTCACTAATTATCAGTCATCTTATCCACCTGCTGCTTCTGCTTTATATACGGTTAGGACCAGCTATCGGGGTCAGATCATTGATTATGTTTGTTTGTTTGAGTTTGTGCTTTTTAGTTTGACTTGGTTCTAGTTCTAGTTTTTATTCTAGGAGGCCAGTGGTTAGAGAGGGTGTTTAGTGTTCTTTTGTCGTGTCCTGGCTCTTGCCCGCTGAGCGCGCTCTGTTCCTATTTTGGACATCTGCGGGAGGGTGAGCTAGTTTGAAGCACTGTAGTCCTCCTGGTACCATGTCTGGTCTGTCTCTGAACTGCTGAGCCTGCCTCTGTCCATCTGAGCGTGTCTGCCTGAGCCCTCTTCTGGACTGATGGAATCCTGAACCTACATGCTGTGGGTTCCTGGATCCCTGGCTCTGTCTGTTCCTGTTTGGATCTGAACCCCTGACTGGGCTACGTACTCCGGACAAAGAAAAAGAATCGCCCTGTTCTGAACTGTTTCCCTGACCTGGCTCAGACTCCTGCCTCTTCACTGGGGCTGCTGCATCGGGGACACTCTGCTCGACTCCCGCTGCATCTCGCTGGCAGTCCATCAGCTAGATCCTGCTTCACTCTTAGGAGTTGGACTGAACTGTTAAACCGGGTAAGTGACTCACATGGATAATCATTTTCCGTCTGATTATCGTGGTCACTTATCTGTGTCTCTCCCAAACACAGTGCCAGCTATAGGTTTTGTCCCGCCTGCCTTTTCAGCCGCTGCATATCCACAGATCAAGAGCTCCACCTATTCTCTGTTTTGCTTGCTTTTGTTAATAAACATTTTAAAACTTCCCCAGTCTGTCTTGCCTGAATACTGGCTCCTACATTATTTTGACACACACAGCTTTCCTGCTTACCTGAACTTGTCTGAAAATCCCCTGGTTGAATTCATCCAGGTACTTTACATGCCAAACCAAGAAGGAACCATCTGTGGGATGTATTGTGAACAACATGTCTGGACTCTTGTTCCACTCTATGGTCAGAGTCTCCATTTTCCTCTCTAGCAGCATGGATGGTAAAGGCATGCTGGAGCTGGATCCAGGTGAGGAAGCCTTAGTGCTTCCTTGTTCCCCTGAATCACCCTCTTCTCCCTGCTCTGAGGAGGCTTTGTCGGACATCTCATCCAGGTCTAAGAAGATAAAAAACAAACACTAATGTCACCACTTTATTCTACCTTTTGAACTTTTTAAGATTTTATGTGAGAGTCTAAATCCTACCAAAATCAAACTTCATAGGGGATCCCTCTGGATCAAGAGGTTCCTCAGTCGTCTGGTCAAGGTGCTGCTCGGAGAACTTTCGGAGCTGTGTCATAAAAAGGTCCATTGAGGAAGTGAAACTGAGGTCCTTGTTGTTAAGCCAGTGAACCACAAAGCCTCCACCACCAGTGCCGTCTTCAGGGTTGAATACTGAGGAGTCAGCAAGTGCTGAGGGGATATCTAGAGGAAGCAAGAGGAAAGAAAGAGCAATAAAGGTGAAAATGAATAAACTGAATGAAATAAGAAATTAAAACATCGAAATAAAAAAACAACCCACCTGTATTTGGGTTAATACTGGCAGAGATATGAAAGTGACACAAGGCGTTGGCATGATGAGCAATGTGGCGGTGAGTGTGAGCGTCTTGTGTGCCCAGCTGAGAGGGAAGCAGCTCGCTGTGTGCCACCAGAGCAGAGGACCGCCGCCGGCCACGCCGCAACTGTTTTAGGTGATGGATTGACTGAACAAGCAAAGTTTAGAAGTAGCATTAATTACAAATTTCGGTCGAAAGGAAGCAGTTTTAAAATCAGCGCTGTGAGATCGAATGTACCTCTAAAGCATGCTGGATTTTGTCCTTATTCCCAGCCAGGCCTGGGAGGCTGGAGCTGAAAGAGTGTGTGTTCTCAGTGATCTGCCCACCAAGCAGACTATCCTCTGGTAAAAGGGTTTCAGACCATAGCCTACAAACACCGTCCTCACAGGATGTGAGCAAAACATTGCACACTGTTCCCCTGAAAAATGAATAAACCAAGGAACAATAAACTGTTAGCAAACTTTTCATTATGCAACACTTCTGATACACTTTTGGTCATTTCAAAACATAAACAGAGCTGTTTTTGAATTTAACAATATGACTCTCTACTCTGGTTTATCTCTAATTGTTTTTATTAAAGGATCGTTTTTGCCATTAACACTATTAAAACTTTATGGTGCAGCACCATTTGGTTTAGATTAAATCTCTGTTATATAGTTTTTTTTAATTAAAAGAAAACAACACAGATCACAGAAAAAAATCTATCCATCTTATTTTCACTAACGGGATCTGCAATAGCTTGTCTGTAACGCCAAAGTCTTATCAAAGTCTTTAGAAGGCCCTTTTGTCTGTCACAGCTATTTAAAGCCACCATTAAACTTTCCCACAGAGATGGTTTTCCTAAGATTTTAATTTTTAATTGAGTAGCCTAAGAAGAAAAGCTCAATACTGCTAGCATTGAGATATTCCTGTCAGGTCAGTACCATTAGAATTCTAATAAGGTTTATCCGAAATATTTCCTGCTTCCTGATGGAAGACCTTACTTTGCTCTAAGATATCAGGGAAACAATGTCAGTTAAAGCAGAAATCCCTGAATTAGAGCTAAAGATTTAGTTGTGATTATTATTTCAAAGTAGGGGGGCAACATGTGTTACTGCTTGTCTGTTGGACACATTGTTATATAGGCAAACTATTGAGAGATGTTTAGTGAACACAGCCTGTTTAAACAGAAAATCACAAAGTATTTCACGTGTGGACTGTTTAAATAAAGAATAGAAATATGTTACTTTGACTATACAGTAGCTCTGTGCCATTTCTTACTTGGGCATGTATTTGCTGGTCTTCCTCCAAGACATTCCAGTGACTGAGCGAGGATGGGCCAAGTAAACAAAGGAGAAGTGAACAGGTGGAGCTTTTTTATCGGATGGATCCTGGACGACCACTGCAGAGCGCCAGGCGGTGGTGGGATACCACACCTTAAGTAAACAGTCATCCTAAACAAACATAAACAACATAAAGAATAAAATTAGATTCACCAAACACACAAATTGTGTTTTTTCATATCCTTTGCCATTATATCTTTACCTTTCCTACTGTTGCAAAGTACTCCCCATCAGGAGACCACTTTGCAATGTGAATAGAAGCCGCAGTCCTGTGAAAAAAAAACAAAAAAACAGACATGGTTGGCTATTTTCATTTCCAAACAGGAAATGCTGCACTTGCAAAATTAAAGAAATTTTGGTGCAAGCTCTGAGAGTGTGATTTCTTTCTAAAAGCCATGGTTGGTGCACTGGGAGCTTGCACTTCCCTGTTCTAGTGGCTTTCCATGTGTCACCATATACCAATTAGGAACATGCCGTGTGTATTTACACAGCTTCCAGCTATGTCTGATGACTCAGTAGCTGCTCACAGCTGGGCATTAAACTGTTTCACATGAGTATAGATGAGTTTGGAGAAAATAACATTTTAAAAGCAAATTATAAATACACAGTCCACCTCATTTTGATTAACAAAAGAAAATTTCAGTTTTTAATGGTGAAAATATTTTGAATATGAGGGGACATTTTCAAATCTTAAAATTGTGGAATATGCATCATCTTATTTAAGAGCAAGGGTTCCCAAACTTGGGCTGCACAGTCGCACAGTGGGTAGCACTGTTGCCTTGCAGTAGGAAGGTTTGCTTGTTCTCCCTGTGCATCCTTGGGTTTTCTCAGGGTACTTCCTCCCACTTTCCAAAAATATGACTATTAGGTAATTTATTTATTTTTTATTGAACTTTATTGATATCACATTGGATAAATTTACCTCTGCATTTAACCCATCCCCTTGGGGAGCAGTGGGCTACCATCGTGGGGTGCCTCAGGAGCAGTATGGGGTTAAGGGTCTTGCACAGAAACCCAGAGTGGCAGTCTGTAGGAGTGGGGCTTGAACTCAGAACCTCAGAATTCCAAGCTCTAGGCCGCCACTTCCCTGGTTTCTCTAAATTCTCCTTAGGTCTTAGAGTGTATTGCCCAGCGATAGACTGGCGACCTGTCCAGGGTGGACCCCGCCTCTCGCCCATTGACAGCTGGAGATAGGCACCAGCACCCATGGAAAACGGATGGATGATGGTTCCCATTTGGTTTTACAGCTGGAACCCGCTTTGGTTAAGAAGATACCTTTCATACACCTGAATACTGATAGAAACGTTGTCACAATCCCTGTAATGAACTACAGAACAACTGGGATCATTCACAGAGTGTTTTAACCCTTTAACTACCTTGCATTTCACTGAATCATTTGGTTGACCAGGTAGTTAAAAGGCCAGGTTCTTCCTTCGGAGCAGAACCCACCTGGTTCTTTCTTTCATTATTAAAACAAAATTTATTATATCTTTTTATACATTAAAATTAATAAAATGATCATATTTGTACCTTGATATTTGCTCTGAATTAACAAATGCTTATTTGCTTTATTACTGTAGATGGCCACCTTTTTTGACCTTTTAAGCTGGTAAGGATTCAGAAGGCAAAAGCTTACTTGCACTGCCAGACACAGTTCCAGTCACTGAGGGCAGGGTGGGGTTTGTCCTCGATCATCTGTCCATCCTCCTCTTCTATTAGGGCATCTGTCAATGGAGGAGCCCACAGCTGGAGACGCTCAGTTGCTGCCAGGATACGGTTCCCTGAAGTCACAAAAGCACTTCATTACACACCCCATGTCCCACAATGACTTTTACAGCACACAGAGGAACATGCACAGTGTCATCAAACACATATGTCAATACAAACAAATCATATGAGCACAGGACGGAAGCTGTGTTTAATGTGGGTCATTTTTTTCATTTCTCTAGACAGAGGTTAAAACACAGAAAGCATGTGTGTACCTTGTGGGTCCCAGGCGAGGTTGTAGGTGATGGCATCAAGAAAGAACTGTCCTGTCTTTTGCCACTGGTAATTAAGTTGCTATTAGTCGGTAGACAGGGGGGGGACACACCATGCAATGTTATTTTCACACAATCTAATTAAAATCCACTGAATGCCAACTGAAATCCTGAATTTTCTATAACTTGCTGATATCCATACTCACCTTGTGGCGTTTATTTGGATTGATGGAAAGAGGTTCGAAGATGCAGACTGTGTTTCCATAAGAAGCAGCAATCTAAAAATAAAGAGCCATGTTCATCATCACAGCATTACTCACCCCATCAGTGCTTCTGCACAGTCATTCCCAGAGGAGAGAGAGGGAGGTAGATGGAGGGGAGGGGGAGGGAAGCAAGGGAGCAGACAAAGCTTGGCCAATACAGGATAATTGCAAACAGGGCTAAATGTTCCTGATTCTGCACAACATAATTGATAATATTTTCTGCTTTCACAGAAGGACAAAAACTGTGTGCGAATGAATCTGAGGGTGTAATGAACACTTACCCTGCCAAGCTGGTGGGAGCACTCCACACAGCCCACCTGTATGTTTCCATTCTGAGCTCCTGGGATGATCTGAACACAGTCAAAGTCACTAGCCAAGATAACCACATCGCATCCTGATCCGTAGGCCTGGAAACAAGACGAGGAAGCAGGAAAGAAGATTGAAAGGTTTTGATTAACACACTTAAAATCCATAGACACATTTTAACACAAGCTGATCTAGTATGTTTTATTTCTTTACGTCTGTCTACATGTTTTTCAAGACTTTCAATTTCCATGCGAACCAATGAAAACATTGATTGTACAATCCATGCAGAGGTAAGGCCTCACGTGCTTTTTAATACGCAACCACACATACGCCGCGTGAGAGTCTATTGTGCACCTGTCGTCATGACTCACATAGCCAGCTGTGCTGTGCATTTCATTCAATTCAGTTTATTTAGTAAATTAAGAAAGAAGAAATAACTGGGGGTATCTTTGGCTCAGATAATCCACCAATTTTCCATTTTGAGAAAAATACAAAACATTTTACAATCCAAAAACATTTGTCGAATATTTAAATAACTAATATCTGGACTTGGGGCAGAGTGTGGACCCATAACCTGCCAATGAAGTCATCTGCAGGTAGAAATAGGGCATAAAAGCAAGAGTTCAGATTTATTCTTATTATTAAAGACTAAAATGGATTTTACTAAAAATAAAAGTTATTTAAAAAAATACTGACTATGAAAATCATAGAAGCAGTAAAAACAGCAGCAGGCATTAACAGACTTCTTCAAAAGAACCAAACTGCAAAGTTTGAGGATAAAAGTACAATAGCTTAATACAAGGAACAGGAGATAAGGCTAAGTTTTTAACCTGGGCTGCAACTAACAATTATTTTGCTAATCGAATGATCTGTCGATTATTTTTTGGAATGAATATAGATTTATTAAGTAATCGGATAATAAAAAGTTCCTTGGAGAAGATTTTGCTACTTTAAAATTAAAGCAGAAGAAACTAAAACTTCCCCACTTGAGTTCTGGATAAAGCATATTGACTGAAGAAAATGTTGTCAAATGCAAGGTACAGATTTTTTGGGGGGGTTACTGCTCTCAGTGGGTTTCTCTGTCAGCAAAATCTTGTTTTACAGTCTCAATTCTCCAGTTAAGGATTAATTAGTCAACGATTTTTTCAATAATCAATCACAAATACTAGTTTTAGCCCTAGTAATAACACAATATATTTTAAGCACAATATTTTTGGATATCCAGTGTTATTTTGATAAAATGACGGGTTGAAAGAAAAGCAGTTATTCTTGCAACACATACTGGTCTAAAGATCCTGAACCTAAATCCACAGCTAGGCATGACAAAATAATGGTATTTAGTCAAATCTTCAAAGTATATTTATTGATACTCCAAAAAAGTAAAAACATTATCCACGTCTCTCTCTCTCTCTCTCTTTTTTACTCCTTTCTCTACTTCTTCTAACATTTGCAAAGAAGAGGCAGAATATGTTAAACAGTGGAGAGGATTCTGAAAAGGGTTTCCATTGGTTTTACCATCTTTTATATGACAGTTATAAATGTGGAATCAATCTAAAACAAAAACATGAATGCTACTATTCCTGAGAGGCCTGATTCCAGAATATTTTTAATTTGATGAAATAGTTGAAACCTATAAATGATCATGCTGATTTAGTTAGACAAAAAAAAGAAACAATAAGGACGATTTTTTTTTTATAGGAAGTTAATTTTTATAAAGTTAAGGAAAATCTAAAATCTAACAGACCTCATTAATATTAAACAAAACATAGCAGTTATATAAACCAAATCCCCATCTCTGCAATAAACATAACATTTGCTTCCTTTACCAGAATGACTGGGACGCCCAGGTTAGAGCATGGACAGGGAGGTAAATTGATCTAACAGTAGTTAGAGCTGTCACCTTGCATACAATAGGAGGATGGCAGAGATGATAGCAGCACCTGGTAGACAGGAGAGCTGGCTTCGCAGCAACCGTACAGAAGGAGAATGACTTGTGTCTTTCATTATTCAGGAGAACAGGAGGAGAAGCTGAGAACTGCTGGGTCACAGAGCAGGACACCACCAGAGCCAGTCGGTGAAGTTAATACTGGAGTCTGCTACTGGCTCATGTTTGGTCCTGAATGAGATTTAGGTGTCAGGATGTAGACAGAACTGAGGTAGCTGCAGTGGGTGCTTTACTATTACTGCAGCGTTTGGACCGGCACATTACAGCAGAAATTAAAAGCAGTCACCGTCACGCACCGCCTAGGACGGCCCTGCACCTTTCTTTCTTATTCACACACGCAAATTTAAGTGTGAGCCCATTCTACCGTGCCTGTCAGCAGCACACCCTCACACCTTGGACATGCTAAGCTTCAGTGAGCTTGCATTCCAAACAAGGATTTATCATTTCTTTTTTCACATTCAGCACAAGAGAAAACATGTTAAAGGCATTGTGGGGATCAAAAGGAATACTCAAACGGTTGCTTAAGGGTTGTTTGAAGATGAATGTACTTAATTGCAGCAGATTTCAATACAGATATAGACTTTAACGGAAAATCTCGCCTGTAGGACTCACTGAAATTTGCATCTACAGATAAGAGGGTTTTATATTCATTAAACTCTGTGCATTGCAATTCATTACCGACTGCTTTAAATTGCAGCAGAGTATGCTTTCATTTTAGCGCCTCACGTGACAGTTGGTTTCTGTGTGGAAGAAGCAGGGGTGTTAACTGGTGGAGAGTGTTTACTAAAGGGAAAAAATCCAATTAGGTACGTGTTGAAATTACTAAAAATAAAAGGTCTGAAAATAATGTTATAATCATCTTCTCTCTTTAGATGATATACATTTTACCACATGATGATGATAGATAGACAGTTTGCAGATTCAAAATTTAGATTACAAAAATTCATGACTGCAAATGTTTAGATATTAAATATGATCATTAGAAGGAAACGATAGCACCTGAACCTACCTTATGCCTGTCACAAACCATTGCATCATCTACTTATTTCTGCTTCTCATATTTGGGTTGTTCAGTATTTTGAAGAATAATGAGGATACAGAGCATTGTTCCTATCAAAGGAATGTCAAATTAGCTATATGTCACTATGTGAGGATTTTATATTTCATCGTGTGTCAATTTTATGCAGTCCTGATTCCTGCTTTGGTCCCCCTTGATCAGTGACATCCTGCTGGTACAACACAAAGCAAAATATTGAGAAAAAAAAGCAGATAATGTAGTTATGAAACATCCACAGAGCAAAGCCTCATTATCATACTGCAAAAGTTAATTACCAACTGACTAAAACAATGACTGTAAAATGGGCATCATCTATTGTAAAGAGCAAGATGCATAAAGAAACATAAGAAAATTAAGAAAACTGACTATGAACCATGTTTTTTGCTTTTTAAGTTAAGACAATGCATCAACTAAAAACATGTACTATATAGCTTGTATAAACATTCAGTTTTGCTTTAGAAAATAAATTCTCTGTTTTATTTACACAATATATCCATATATATACTGGATATGTTGTAATACTAAGCAGAGTCAAGGACAATTAACTGCAAATTAAAACTACATGTTAAATGCAGCCATTTTTGAAAAGCTCACCAAGCTTTTTTAGCTAATGCTTCTATTGCACCTAAACATTTGTGCTGCAGTATGTTTTTTTGGGGGGGGCTTTTTTGACCTACTTTAGCATTCTCTCCTTATCGTTCTTTAAAAGCTATGTCAGCAAACTCTGGTATTCTGAGAGATAGCAAAGGTAAACTATCACAGGGCAAACAGCTGCCTTTTAAAATCTGTGTATTTTCAACAAAAGGAGAAAATGGAGTCATGTGTTTTGATGTACACGGATAAGAGGAAGGAGAACAATAAAACACTTCTGCTAGAATTTCACCACAAACTGCCTCTTTCCCATGACTAAAAAGCAAATGTTCCACCAACAATAAGCTGGCAGCCTTTGAGGGAATATTTTTGATTGATCAGGTCTGGCCTAGTAAACTGTGGTTATACTCTGAGTTTTTCAGTTAGAGTTTTTCACTAGAACCTGTACTTTGACCCTCTGTCCACAGTTATATCTTTGGAGCCTTGCTTTTTTTCTGTGTTTCGCATGACAGCAACAAAACAGATTTGTACAACAATTAAACTGGAGATTTGGACCTAATTATCATTAGATCAGTGCAGCCAGTCCCAAAGTCCACGTTGGACATTTAGATCGGCTGCACTGATCAAGTCGCCTGCATTTCTGTCAGGTTTTTAACTCTAAAAGCTGGTTTAAATTCAAATGCACATAAATTCAATGATTTACAGCTATCTGATTTTCATTCTTTTAAGAGGCTTTGCTTTGTTTATTAGTAAAATTTAGATACCAAAAGGACTCACCGAGCAGCCAGGCTATACCGTTCAGCTTTACACAAAAGGTAATTGTATACATAGAGCTCGCACAGCTGACTTGGCTTTCACCATGAAGCTTAAAATGCACTGCACCTGCTCCCATACACTCACTATTTACAATTTCCCCTTATCACAATATTCCTACAAACAGGACACATAACAGTGGCCTCTTTGTGCAGCCAACTATAAGATTGTGTACATGCACAATCTACAAATTAAAAGTGAAAAAGAAAATGCTCTGCCGCATTCACTGCAAGATAAAGTGTGAAATTATGCAAGAAATTGCTGTTTTTATCTAGTTTATATTTACAAAAGTTATTAAATTATTCACACACCATTAAAATTGCACTATATCAAATCAATTAAAAGTTTTCAATAGTTACGTTGCGGTTAATCAATGAAACAATACAGAAGAACAAATCAATTTACCAGATAATGAAATGAGCTACTTTTATCTTGATTGGCTGCAGTTATGAGTGCAGGTAGATCAAATGAAACATTTTATTTTTTTTCTCCTAGTCATTAAATGCATCAAAACTAAAGCCTTGAAGTAGTTTCAGTCGCAGACAAACTGGCTCTCTGTCGTGTTATTTAAAATAGCACAACAGATTAAGTATTTGTACTTAAACCTTCACAGGTATTTTTAGTGGTTGAACGGTGGCTATCTTGATGGAATTTCTTTCGGTTCAAACATGCTGGAACCTGCCAACATCACAGGTATAGGGAATCATCTGCATAGTCCCAAATTTGGGTATAAATGCAACTCACTCAGTCGTACGCCTCTATAGCGACTCCTTCTGTCATCCATGACCTTAGGGTATCCCTAAGTCGACACCTTAAAGCAAGAGGCTCGAATTGAAACCCAAACTTACTGAGCTCCACAGAGCCTGCTTGGACCTCCAGTGATGAGGATAAAAACTACTCCCCCACAAAATAACCATCCATGGCATCTCTACTGACATCCTCCTGCTCACCATCCACTTTTCAATATGGCTAGGCTGAGCTATCTAGCTTTTTCTAGTCCTGTTTTTACCTCAAATTGTGTCAAATCATAGGCTGGCCCTAGACAAACTTTTTTCTGACCTGAAGCCGGTGCAGCGAGCGCTACCAAGACAGGGGAGGCCAGGATGAGCTACTTATGTATTAGTAAGTTGTATTTATACCTAAATGAGGAGCTATGGTGACAAATGCATGTCCCAGTGATGTAGACATGTAGCAGCAATACTGTTTAAACCAATAGGAAAATTCATCTACAATAGCTACCTTATGACTGCCTTGGGCAGGCCCGAGGTGGTTTTATGACGAATACTGCAGAACTAAAACATATCTCAGACAAAAATACAAAAAATGGGCAAAGTAACATCATAAACCCATAAACCCAATGTAACTGACAAAAAGTAGATTTTGGGCTAGTTACAATTTAGTAGCATAACAATACATGCTTTGATGGTTGAATTGGGATAATCTTGCAGTTCTTTGATTTGCTGTTAGATGTAATTTTGTTATTTCTTTCAAGGATCCTGCAGCACACATGTTTTTCCCTTTTTATCTGTTCAAAATCTAGAAAAAAAAACATCAGAATCAGCAGATTAGAACTTGGGCAAAACTATAGTGAATATCAGCCAGCAAAAAAAAAAAAAAAAAGCCTCACATCTCATAATGTCTTAATTTATGAATCTGACTGTATGATCTGGTTGAATTGTCTCTCTAAAGTGCTTGAGATGACATGTGTTCTGAATTAGCGCTATATAAATAAGCTAAATTGAACTGAATTACTTAATGTTAACCTTGTAAACCTTCACTCAAAAGTGATGAAGACACATTTTCAAACGGATCACCTGTTTGGTCCATGTCGAAGTTCTGATTAGCATTACTCAAGCCAATTACATAATCCAAGAAAGCACACTCTTGTCTGTTTCAAGTGGATTAAACAGCTCTGGTGTGAAAGCAATATCATCTGCATCAAGATCTAGTGCTTGGCACATCTGTAGAAGCTGAATGCTTATAACAATAGTGTGGACCTTACGGCTGTGCTCGATGCTTAAGTCTTTTTTTGTTCTTTATCAGCTATTTGGGGGAAATAATACATGCATGAGGCTGTGTGCTTTAAGGCTGTCATTAGTACAATAACAACTGACAATAACGACAGGAAAACACCATTAAATAATCTTTTAATCCAGTTTTATCACAACAAAAAGATCATGAACAAGTGTTTTGTTGTACATGTCCATGGACTGACAAGCAATTCCTGCCACTTTGAAAAAACTACTTCCTTAGAGATAACCAACAACACATTAGCATTATGTGTTTCCTGTTGTCTTTTCTGTCTCAGTTATGTATGACAAAAAGGCCTTAACCAGTCTGGATGCAGGCTAAAAAAAAAACAATCTCACAGGTCAGTCAAGGTTCATCTCCTGATTAAACTTAAAGACACTCCTAATAGTGTCTAAGAGAACGAATTTAGTCATGAAATACTATGAATGCCAAACCGAAGCTTGTCCGTTCTTTAACCATGTAAGTTTTGCATTTGAGAGTGTGTGTGTTTTGTCAGGGTCAAGCCTGGGAGCCTCGGGGGTCAGTGTGAGTGTAAACACATTGGACATGATGTCTAGTGCTCTTCAAATACCCTCTCAAACACAGAAAAGAAAACACCAGACATAGAAATCAGGCCCCTGTAGCAACTAGCAAGGCTTCAGCTTTACAGCAGACACTGTCCTTTGCTGTTGAGCAGATATGACCGCAGGTACAACACCCCTCCTCTTTTACATTTCAACTGATTTCATCTGGAAGCAGGGTTTTAGGGGAAATTTGGACGAAGGTGCAGTTTTAACTATGATAAACTATACATTTATCTCCTATAGTCAATCAGGTTGGAGAAAACAGAAAAGGAGGAACATTGATTTGTCTCTTAAAAGTTGTATTTTAATGAATAACCAATGAATTACCCCCTAATAGGTGTTTAACAACAGATGAAATGCTCAAAGCACTACTGCAGATCTACAGTGGGTTTTTTTTGTGTGAACATATAATAAAGAATTTCTAAAAACACAAAAGATGCAAGTCATGCAAATACATGTCTGTTTTACTCCACATGCAGCGACCACTGTTTAGAACAACACACCTGACTGTTTAGCTTTTTTTCCACCTTTGCTTTTCTAGTCTGGGTTTGATATTTTCTTACAAAGTGTTGATAACTTACTCTCCAGGTGCACAGTATTTAAATTGTTAAAACACAGTACAGTATTTTATTTTTTTTGTCTCTTTAGTATTACTTTTATTTTATTCTTTTTGTATATATTTTTATAAGGTCCACATTTGTGTGACAATGTTTTTCTACAATCTTTTTGACCTCATTTATCCCCATTGTGGAACAACAAAGGCATATTCTATTCTATTTTATATTCTATTCTATTCTATAAGGATCATACAGGTATTGCTAACACTGCTGACTCATATTTCCTTGGTTTTGCTGTTTACACTCGTTGCTTTGCTATTTAATAATAAAAAAGAAAGAAGTAAAAAAAAACATATCTGGGGGTAAGGGCTCATTGCATACCAAAGACAGTATATTTCTGCTATCTCTCAGGGCACAAAATGGAATATTGATTTGTCTCTGTGTGCCTCAAGTAGATAGCACAGAGAGTAATTTTGGGAAGAGGCCAGACGACAGACTGACACATTGATTTTTACATTTCAAAGAGGTCAACAAATTCCAGAAACTGATTGTCTTTTTGTGTTTGTTTGTTTAATCAGCATGTTTATAAAACAGGTTTTACACTGAAAAGACAGAAACTATGTATTAGTTAGTAATAAATATCCATAATCCAATAAATACAAACATAAAAACAAAGAATATTTTGAAAAAAAGAAATAAAATAGTGCCATTCAGCCTTTTAGCGCATGTATCCATATATGGCTCTCTACGTCACGGCAGCTGATGCTGGGATGACAGCGGGCTATTAATCCGCGAGGAGGATTTAACGCCAAATGCGCTCCTAACCCCTCCAGACACCACAGCACACGTCGCTTAAATGCTACAATGTTGCCGAATTTCGTCAAGTCCACTTCCTTCATCAAATTAACCTGCATCATTTAGTCGGGATGTGTCCCGTAGTTAGTAAACATGTTTCCTCAATAACCGTTCGGCTGCGCAAAAAGGGATTCCCTTGCGGTATTTCTAACGTTCTAAGATTTAGCCAAAAGGTCACCATAGTTCCCATGTCTTGGGTTGTTAGGTATTAAAAGACCTCCGATATTTGAAACATTAAGCCTCTAAATGACTAACTAGAAGTGGGAGTAAATCAAACAGAATGTGATAAGGATGCTCCTTGAAGTCTGGACTCTGAATATGTCTGCTAGCTGGTGCTGAAGCTCGCGCCCCAGCCCGGTTTACGGTGAACGTAACGTCAGCTGGCGAACCGTAGCTAGCTAGTCAACGGTTAGCCGCAACCGCTGTCATTCTGAGCAAACAATAAAACCCATAAAGCCTTACCGTGAAGGGAATGTCATTAACACTGCCGACGGAGTAGCAACAATCTCCCGGGTTCACCGCTCCCGTCAGTACCTGGTGCAGATGCATTTTCCTTCTATTTCAGCAGCAGATGGGTTCTTTAATTATTTACAACGAGTCCACCCTTTCGGTTTCTCCATCTAGCATCGACTGGGAATTCCATCAGTAATGCTAACGCCGTCCTTGGCCTGACAGTGTCTTCGGTGGGCGCGTGGATTATTAGCGCTTCGCCCGTGTGCGTGGGGTCCCATCGGCTCCTGGCATCTGGGTTAGGGACAGAAAACGAGGCGTCTGTGGCCCCTCGCCGACAACACCATCCTCACGATTGGTCGTGAGAGGCAAGGCAGCAGGATCTCTGCAACGATCCTGACATGCGCGTTCCCGACACTTGTCAAGGCACGACTGAACGGCCATAGATCTATAGAACCTAGATTGGGAAATAGACGTTTCTGAATAACGTCGGAAAATTTACCTGCATGAAGCCCCTCAATAACAAAATGTTTTTGTATTTAGGAGAAAATATAACTAAAACAATTACACTATAGGGTTAAAATTCTCTCTCTCATTGAGTATAGTATGTTCTATTGTTGATTTTCTATATTCACCTTGGCTTAGTTTTGTACAGGACATCATACATGTGTAAGTACATCTTCAAAAGCTAAAATAACTAAATAATAAATATTTATATGTCATCACTGACTATAATTGTTGCGTTTTTACATTTTTTTAATTAATTGGGATAGAATAAGACTTGTTATAACTGAATGTAAGTCAGATATTAGACTTGTTCATGTGCTCCTAGGGCCTTAAAACTGAAAGTTTTTGATTTTGCCTAAACTTAGACTCTGATAGATTTTATTCCTAAAGCCTAATAGCTTATTGAGACAGAGGATGAGTTGATATATACACTGTAGTGGACTGTTTCTCTGGTTCAAAACTTCTAATATCAGGTCAATCTGAAAAAAACACGCAGAAAGAAAAGAGAATTAGAAAAAAAATATTTATACAATTACTTTAGTCTTTGGCATTCAGACCTTGGCAGGAAACATTAGTGCTGAATTTTGCTTTGATATGCAAGAACAGGAGTACAATTAAATTAAGTTTATTGATATAGATCATACAGTCAAATTGATTAAAAGTTTTTTTTTCTAAGGAAAACCAGTTGATTCCACCGACTCATTGACTCAAAGGCAATCCCTCACACTAAGCATGCTTTTAGTGACAGTGGAGAGGAAAAACTCCCTTTTAACAGGAAGAAACCTCCAGCAGAACCAGGCTCAGTGTGAGCGGCCATCTGCTGAGGCCGAGCGGGGTTCAAGGACAGAAGCAGAGATACAAATGCAGCTGTAAAAGGTGGTCCCGTCCAGGAAACACACAGCCGGACAGATGAGTTCTGAGCCAGCTTTCATGTCAGAGGATGAAGAGAGCACATCCAGTCACAGTCAGAGAAACGGGACTACACTGAAAAACAGGCTGATAATCAATATCTATAAACAAATGTGTTGATGGCAGCAGCACAGCTGCTATTTCTCTCCAGTGTGGTGTCACAGCCAAACAAGAACAGACCAGGTGAAGCTACTATGAGAAAAAGCAGAGAAAGAATAACATTACAGATAGAATTAACAGATTCTGCAGAGTGGGAGAATAGAGATAGAATGAAGCAGAATGATGGAAAAAGGGGTCCCTATGTCCTCCAGAAGTCTAAGCCTATAGCAGCATAACTATAGAGATAGCTAAGGATAACCTGAGCTATCTGAGTACAGAACAGGGATGTTTCCCCCCAGGCCTGAAACTGGTGATGAAGTGGAGATAGATGAAGTTGGTCAGTCCATGACTGCAGTATGGAGCAACATGTGAGCTGATACTTGTGCTTCACTAGGGGACCTGAAGATGGAAGTCCAGCTTGGATAACACAGGTTGTATTAACATGTCCATGATGAGCAAGCATGAAGAGACAGTGGAGAGGAAAAACTCCCCTTTGAGAAGAAACCTCTGGCAGAACCAGGCTTAACATGGCGGTCTTCTGCCGGACTGGTTTAGATGGGACATGTAATGAAGTAAGTGTCCAGAAGGAATGACACTGTGAAGAAGCTTAGTTACGATGGTGGAGAAGGGGATGGAGGTGGGTTGAATCAGGGTCATCTGACCTGAAGTCAGATATAGAGTAACAACTGCTCGGCTTGGGTAGCAGACTGAGACGGGGATTTGGAGAACCTTTTAAGATAAACTCAGGATGCTGATTGGCTTTAGTCGACATGTGGTTCAAAGCTGATTGGCCTTTGTTGGAGGCGGGTAAGGGTAAGTAATCAGTTTCTTCAATTGAACTTCCGCCTTGGCTCCATTTAAAAGTAAAGTTTGCATTGAAAATGAAAAAAGCCCCCCACATTATGGAGCGAGAGCTATAGAGTACTTTCAAGGCAATGTTGCGAGACACTAGACCCAATAACCCGAATGCCACTATCAACACAACCTTGGCTTCCTCACCAACGCCATAGGCTGGCCATCCACAGGCCATGCATCACTGATGCAGTAATTCATGCAAAATAAGGCCCAACCCAGTGCTGACTGCATAGAACGTGTTTTCTAGATATGCACTTTTTACATTTCATAGAGTCAGCCTCTCGTCTCCCTTTCTGATCCCATTTCTTACCTGCTTCATTACTCCAAGCATTATAGTGAGAGGAATCTATAGTGGTGATACAAAACTGACAGTCCAAGCAGTGGCCTACTTATTCAAACCCTCCTGACATCATCAGGCAGAAGTTGCCTTCAAGCCACAATGATATGCAGGAGAAGGAGAGCACAAGCCAAATGGCAGAAACCCACAAAGAATGTAAGAATGTATTTTTGGATAAACGTTAATAGCCACAGTACAGTGTGCTTATGCATATATGACATTTGCTTAAACAGTGGGAATAAAATGTTTCTGATAATAAAACAATCATTGAACATTTTCTATCACCGCATTTATTATTTAATGTCCACAGCTTTCTTGCCAAATTCAGTTTATGATTTTAACAGATAGAAAAATAAATGGATTAAGTAAAAGTAAAAGTACTGCTCTGTCTTTTAAACATGCTGTACATAAGTCTTTTTTCATATTTTCAGCGAACATTGGACAGAAATACTGAGTAAATTTATGTTCAGAATGTGATAGACTCTTAATATAAATATTAATCAGAGGAGAAAAAATTCTGGCATTCTGTTACCTATAGAGCCATGCAGTAAATTAAAAATCAATGAATTCCTGTCAGATATCTGTATCATTCTTCTCTTTATTATTTGAATAATTGTAAAGGGCAGCCTGCTGTGAGTAAATGTGACTAAGAATGGGATTTCTTTCCTTGAGGCTGAAGTTTTCGAAATGCTTTTCTTTTGTACTAAGAATGTAATTATCTGTTTTTCAGATAGTTTGCGACTGAAACTGATTTAATGAAATCAGAGAAAAGTCGATCAAGTTCCCAGCATGTTTATCCAGGTAAAGATTATATATGACCCAGATTTTAATATCTGTTGTAGATTTTAAAGAATCAGGCAATTCATGCCTAAGGATGGTAGATGTGTTCATTAGCTGGCCATTAGCTGTAATAAAAACATTTAGAAAACTGTAACATCAATGTTCTATTATTAGGAAACGTACATGTTTTTGTACAGTAGAGTTAAACTCTAGGTAGACCTGACTATGTGAGTTAGATCAATTGTTTGTCCTCATGTTGCAGAAAGGGCAACGGAAAGTGGTTCCAGTGGTTGTTCGTAGTTCTTCTTGCATCATTTGGAGAGAAGGCTGTGATCTACAGAGTACAGAATTAAACACATTATAGATTTTTTAATTTCATGGTTGGCTGCTTGCTGTAGGGAGTTCCAGTCTGACCCCTAAGGTGCAAAACATCCAGCTTCTTGTGGCACAAATGTAATCGACTCTCTACTGTTCCTAGACAGATGTGCCAGTGATGCTGATGTCATGTATAGAAAATAAACTGTTACTATTTGTAACCTGCAGTTAAAAACTAGTTTGAAAGGTTTGAAAATGAACTAATTTAAAGCCTGTTGTGTGTTAATTAGCTAAAACCCCTGTTTACAAATCAGAAATATGTAAAAATGATTCATATTAATTAACCATATTATTAAAAACTATCCATGGGCCCTCACGTATAATGTAATGAGCACAAAAACACCAGATTTAATAAAACTGATCCACAATATGGAAATACTGAATTTTTAAACTACGGCTCAAGAAGGACAAAGGAGAGAGACTTTAGGAAAGAAGGGATTATTTTATTTCCAAAGGTGTGTAACAGTTAATTTTTGTGAATCCATATTTAATTTAATTTATTTTGAAACATGATATGATTTAACAATGTTTACATTGAATGCTTCACAAACATGCATCATGTTTCAAAAAGGAGTAGGATGAAACATACCGTAAGCTTATTAGGCCCTACCCCTCAGTTACATGTGTCATGGTGGTAAAGGACAATTATTTACAGTAAGACAAACAGTATACCAACTTTTTATATATTACTCTTTTTTGTATTCATCAAAAATACTTTTCTTATATTCTCATATTACTTGGACAGACTCCTGGGAGTTTTTTTCTCTGTCTATTTTCAGAGAATACATATAGTGAAATGTCTGTAGAATCGTAATGCTCCTTAGTATGACTGCCTGCCACCTGCCCTAGCCCTGGTATTCGATTATGTGTACTTGCATGTTTAAAAATGAATTAAAATAAAGTAAAAAAAGCAAAAAAAAAAAAAAAAACACCAGCTCTGGAATTTCCTTTACAAGGCTCAATAAAGAATATGCTTGATCGATTGTATACGTAGATTAAGTCAAAACACCATCATCCTGTGGTATCCCAAGTCTTCAAGATATTCAAGTTTTTATGAACCCAAAGTGTTAACTCATTGAGCCTTGACAGAATGTGTGTTAACCCTTGTCAATTATACATAGGGAATATGTTGTGAGAATTTAGTGATTTAAAATCTTTAAAAGGAAAAATGATTACATAACTTTTAAAAAACTGATTAATGTGTCTACCTCTGAAAAATAAGTGATTGCTTTTATTTAAAAAAATTATCAAATGTTTGCTGATTTGAATGTGACTCAGTTTCAGTAAGGAGACTCTTCAAGTATGCTTCTGACTGGCTGATCAACACCACTTGACAACTACTTCCACTGAAACCGCTGTCACCCAAACCAGCAGAGTTCTGAGGCACACATAAGCCAGGGCGGGTCTAGAGGGGTGGCCAGCGGGCCCATGGGCACTGTAGCCACCCCTACCAGGTTATTTGTTGTTTCCTTGTGGGAATTAGATCAATACTCCTGGAAAAAGCAGTTCTCTG